ACAGCTAAGGTCTGGCCTTGTCGTAGTGTGGCTCAAATCTTTGAATATTTCGAAGTCTAGTGGTCCAAGCGAAAATATAACAAAATTTTCGCAGCCTCAGCCTACGATACCGAGACACAGACCAGACCTAAACCCCGGTAGAAAAGTTTCTGATTGGTGGATAGGATGTAAATGATCTTGGTTTGGAATGGTCCATTTCCAAAATCACAAACAAAAGCAGTTTGAAGGAATTTGATTTTAAGTAGTGTGTTAATAAGAATAGAAATAAAAAACCAGAACATTGAGCTGAATAATGTATTTCATTAAGAATATAGTTACATAATCCTTAATAAATACATTTAAATTTCAAAATACATCGAGTACCAGAATAAAACAGTTATGATATGAATACACTTCTTGCATAAATATATAAAAATATTCTTCATAAGAGTATGTACATTTAATATTACGATAGTTACATTGTAAAGCATTCTACATTCTGCTAAATTCATTTCTATCTTACTTAATATTATAAATCTTGTATGTTTGTTACTTGAAATTTGGAACAGCTTAGATAATGGTCTTTTTTAAGGGGGGAAAACCATCGTATGACTTCTCCCGCCTGGGTGAGGCGGGAGGGAGTGTCAGACTCTTACTGACTAAAACCCCCCCGTTCCTACTCCTGCACTTCGAGCCGGAGCCCCGGTAACCCGTTAAATTCTCCGCGGCTCCGTATCGGCATCAACCCTATTGGGCCACTATTCGATGATGGTTTGATGGCTCTTTGAGGCGCGTGCGGAACGCGACGCGGCGTACGCTCGGGTCTGGTTCTGGTCGGGCGGCGAGCTACCCATGCTCGACGTCCGCAGGCCCGTGCTTACGGTGGCCGGAGATTATGGTCGGGAATAACACATGGGCTACCTTTTATCCCCCGGGAACGCGGGCGAAGCCGCTGATATAAGCTGGTCATTTATAAATGATTATTTATTATACATTACAATGTTCATCATCAACAGTCCAATCCAAGCCGGAGGAGTCTCTTTTAAGTAATACGGTACTTGACAACTAGTCATATACAATACTTTTTTCGAACTGTCAAAGATGACAGTTTTCTATCAGTTTTGTACGATATTGTAAATTGTGACGTCACGTTTTTTTAGCGTAAAACAGCATACTTATTTCTTATTAAAAGCGCTGGAAAAGTACTAAAATTATCATAAAAACAATTAATGAAAGTGTGATTATTTTTAAATAATTTATTGTATTGAACAGTCGAAATAATTTATTTTTGATTACGGAAAGGACTCAATTAAAAGGTCCACGGTCTAATCTTCACGCTAGTTGAATTAACGAAATATAATATTATGGACTGCCTCGTTGGGTCGTCGTAATTGTGACTGCTGGGCAAGGGGTCTCGGGATTCCCGGATCGGGCAAAGTATTACTGGGTTTTAAAAAAAACTCCCAGTAGTCGCACAATCTGAAATTGTGCCTAGTGTATGGCAATAGGCTTACCCCCTCCGGGGCTCCGGCTCGACGTGCAGGAGAAGGAACGGGGTGGTTTTTAGTCAGTAAGAGTCTGACACTCCCTTCCGCCTCACCCAGGCGGGAGCAGTCATTCGATGATTTTCCCCCCTTAAAAAAAAAAAAAGGCTCACCCCCTATGAGAGACTACATGAGACTTTAATAATAATAAGCCCGCAGGGCACCTTGAGGCGAGGTGACGGGCATTAGCGATCCCGCGGGCTACCATCATCCCGAGTGCTCCAGGGAGAAGTCACCGTTCCTTCTTCTCCGGCTTGCCTTAATTGGCTGGCTGGAGTGAAAGATGACAAGGAACAGGTCTCCCACCTCTGGCTTGCCTTCATTGGCCGTCCAGAGTGGAGTCGCGAGAGCAGTAATCCTGCTCGGAGGGTAAGAAACTATTCGTAAGTCGCGAGTGGGCCAGGGATGCAGGAGGCTTCGGCTGGAGCAGATGATCTGAGTAGAAAGCGGTGGTACGTTTCTTAACCCTTCAGCCACTCACATTCTCGTTGCCCCTCTGTTGCTATATCTAGCAACCATTCCTGGGGCCCGGTCGGTGAGTTGGCGAGTCTCCGCCTGCCATTTTTACGTGTAAAAATTACATTGTTTCGGCAGGTGCCATAGTCATCCATAGTTCCCAATTTACCAGTCCACAGCAACCCATCCATAGCCCCACCTTCTTTTTTTCCATTATTCACAATAGTCCTACACTAACCGGGGACTGTCCTTGGGTGCATTTCCATAGTGCATACAGGGATAGTCGCCGGTTTGTGTGTCCATTACATTTATATTAAAGTTGTCTAAAGGGCCTCTGCGCAGTTGGCTTCGGCCCCTCGTACGCCTCCCAAATGACCGGGAACCTGTGGTCCCGTGAATGGTAAAGACATACATAATAATAATAATATATTCTTTATTGTACACCACATAAACATAAAAGACAACAAACAATTGATATAGTGCACAATGGGCGGTCTTATCGCACAAGGCGATCTCTTCCAGACAACCTTTAAATAGTGAAAAGTGGGTGTTACATTGTACAGTGGCATTAAGTGCTGTAATGCATGTAATGCAATGCATAGATTTACCTATTTACATGGGACTTGGGCGTCCCATGTAAATAGGTAAATCTATTGCCGTAGACTGGGCACATATCCAGTCTCTATTCTATCTATATAAATAAAAACGATTTTCCGTTTGTTAGTCTCGTTAAAACTCGATAACGGCTGAACCGATTTGGCTAATTTTGGTCTTGAGACGTTCGTGGAAGTCCATGGAAAGTGAGAAAAACAATGTTAAAGCGGTATAAAGTTTGCCGAGTCAACTAGTAACTGATAAAATATAGAAAAGCCTTCACTAAAAGTCGGAAGTTGTCTATGTACCCAGCTGTAAGTAATTATTTGCAAAATAATAATGAATTTAGCACAATGAAGACAATAACATCGAACTGCTAAGGTGTTACTTGATATGGGTTTGTGTTTGCTGACTAGATGGCGCTAATTTACATTTGTCTGTATGCGCAATCAGCTGAAGCTGTCAAATTTTTTTTCCAACAATACACTTACTACTTTGTTATTGGACAGACTTGACGTTTGAAGTATTAATTAGCGCCATCTAGGGACAAAAAGAAGAAACTGTAGCCCTTAATATTGCAGTTTGATGTTATTACAGTAACATTTTAGTATTTCGGTAAAGGATCTAAAAACATTAAGTACATATAACAGAACACAAGCTAGATATATTTTTGGTATTACTACGATTTACACCTTAATTTTAAGTGAGATTAGTAAATATCAATTATATTCAGAGTAATTTAGAATTCATTTTCTATTGTCACGACGATAATTATTATGACTGTCATTGAACTTTTAAGTTAAGTGGAACACAATATTTTATTAATTTAACAATTTAACTGCTGTACTCAGAGACATTTAATAGTAATTTAAACTTGGTAACAATTTTGTAATATCATATTTAATTACTGGCTGCCTCGTTGGCCGAGTGGTCGCTAGTGCGACTGCCCTCGGGTTCGATTCCCGGGTCGGAGAAAGTATTACTGGGTTTTTGAAAATATTCCCAGTAGTAGCACTGAGTCTGGAATTGTACCCGGTATATGGTTATTACCAGAGTCCCATGTAATAGGGGGTAAGCCAATAGGCTCGTATATTATTAGGCTTGACATAAATAGTGAAAAGTGGGTGTTACATTGTCCAGTGGCATTAAGTGCCGTAATGTGCACCTCTGCTTACCCCTTTAGGCCTTTTGGGGATAAAAGGAGTGATGTTATGTTAAATAACTCTGAGTACGATGGTTAGCGTTTTCCGCAACAGATAGGGGTTACCACTGATTTTAAAAATTTTACCTTAGTTAATATTATACCTGAATGAAACAATTCGACTAAAGCTGACAATGATGTATCAATTTTCTAAGAAACAAAATTAAATCAACAATATAAATGATTTATTTGTAATATAGCCCAATAAACAACGAGAACATAACTAAAATATCATAACAATTTAGTGACTAAATCGATAAAATTTAAAAAATGATAGAACTCGATTCTATACATTTGATCGAGTCACCTACGAACAAAAAATGTGGGTAGACTAATTTTTGTACTTTATATTTTCAATTGCATTCGTCAGTCGCGCCGCGGATGTGGTAGTGACAAGACCATTATTAAGTAAATGGTGATTTTAACAATAACATGAAATGAGTTATTTGCTGCCCAAGCAGTTGATAATAGAAAAGTCATAATTATAGCTCCAGCTTTCTAGGAGAATTTGTTACTTTTTATCAAGTTCAGTGCAGTCATTCGACAGTTATGCGCGTACATACATTTTGGAGATTCATTTTTATTACGTTATCCATACACAAGGAGTTACAACGCGTCCCTATTATCAAGCCTGAGCTGTTCGTCAGTTTGTCTGTCACCGGGCAGTTACCAGGAAGCCTGATAACTAGACAATTGTTTTTATACGGATGGTTTCTTTCTATAAATACATAATATCTAAATGAGGTTTTCACACAGAAGATATTACATTTTTTTACAGATATTTGCTTAATTATTTTGGTATGGATCTCATCTTTTTGTAATCATAATTTTAATATTATATACCTACTGCGTGCATCGATAAAGAATAACAATTACTATTATTAGTTTAGACGGAAAATCTTTGGGGCATTTGTAATACAGTTGGTGATTTTGCAAGGAGTTTGGAATACCTATAATTCATATTTTAATCTATTCATTTGCGTTTAATTTATACCGATTTGATTTAATATCATAGCAGTTATATAATAATTTTACAGAATATCGTTCGAGTTTCACATAAAATCTACCATTTTTATTGCATTGTCATATTGCAAACGGGTTGCAACGAAATAATAACCAAAACATACATAAAAACAAACTAGATTACTATTTATACCGCAAACAAAGCAGGAAACAGAATAAAAAATAAATTATTATTGTGCTAATTAGACACGCTTACAATAAATTCACTTAAGAGGCGAACACGAAGGACATAACTTGATTTTATTCAACTCTAAACACGCGCCATGAAAAGTGTGGCCACACTTAAAAACCCAGAGTCCGCCATCTTTGATTAGTACCGTATTTTGCAGTGGCAACCCACATAGTACGCAGTCAGTTATATTATTATTTATGTACGATAAATTGTCTAGTATACTGGTTATTGAAGCGTCTAATATGTAGTCTTCATTAACTTCATGGTCCTCGGTTGGTATTTTCGCAGTTAGGGGCCGTAGACCCCAATGTTTGGACTTCGCAGCAGCAATGATTGGCAGTGCCGTGTTCTTGGGTTTTCCATTTAATGTACTGCGCAATAGTCTGCAGATCTGGAAACGATGAAAATAAGTGTTAAATGTTTGATTGGTTTTTATTGAAAAGATACGTCATTATTAATTTAGGAAATCAATATACTAACACTTCCGTCACTATATGTACTAGAAATAGCTTTATTTGTACGAAATAACCCTCAATGGTTTCCGCTCTTATCAGATAAAGTTGTTAGAAATAGACGCATGAAATATAAGCACTATTTACGACTTCACTCAGCGAAAACCACTCTACTTCATAAAAGTGTATTTTGTATGGCACCGATAATTTACAATAAAATTCCAGAAAATTTAAAAGCCGTATGTAATAATAATATATTTAAAAAAGAGCTAAAAAAATTACTTTTAAAAAATTGTTACTATAGTGTTAAGGACTTTATAAATGATACTTTATAATTTCATTGTTTCATAGATTTTTGTTTTGGTTAATTTGTTCTGATAATCTTTAGTACCTAGTTTTGAAAATATTTTGTACGCCAATTGGGGCAAGACATGTTGAAACTAAGCAAGCTATTTATGTAAGACCATCTACGTTTGCATTTATGTATAATGTTACACATGTTTACGCAAATAAATATATCTTTATCTTTATCTTTAATAGAAAGTAAAAAATAGTTCTGGTTTGTAAATAATGTGAAATATCATCCTCATATCAAATGGTAGAATGTACAAGGACAACTTATTAGAGGTAGTGTTTTAATATCACCTTATTGTAAATACCTGCATTCTGAGCAAATAAATAATTATTCTATTCTATTATATTCTTTATAATTTACTTTTTTCTCATTTACTGATTAATATTTAAATATTAGTTAGGAGTTACAATTATCAGGCCTACACTACCTAATTATGATTTTAATAAATCTTTAAATAGTTTAAATTACTTATAAGATATTGAGCAATAGTAACGACATCTACCAGGACGTGTGTTAAAATAAATGGACGTGTATAATATAAATGTCTTTTACTCGGAATGTAAATTAATAAAACTAGTAAACAACAAAGTTATAGTAAGCTGTTTGTTACGCGGTAAAATCTGTAAGAAATAACAAGTCCACATATTCACTCGGGACATAGGGAAATAATACCAAAGCCAAGAGGAAATTATTAAGATCCTTACCTCAATTCTAGAATCTTCGAAATTATAACAACTGTACAGAGTATCAGTTAGTTGTCCAACGATAGTCGCGTCGTATCTCTCATACATGGTCACCATGAGACAAGTGTGATAGAACTTCACAGTGATAGCTCCTTCATCTATCAGGCTTGCGTACTTCTCCATCACTTTGATAGCATTCCTACCCCCAACAGACTTGATCATCAGCGCTCCTAAGTCATCCCAACTCAAAGTGTCCTTCACAATAATATGATCAAACTTCTTCGCACAGTTTAAACACATGTTGGCATGCAACGTAGCGTACAACTGCACTGTCCGCTCCCAAGTATCCAAAGTAAACTGAGGCAGAAAAGAATGCAGCAACTTCTCGTCCAACATTTGCAACAATATCCTCAATATATTCAATAAGTCCTCATTCCTCCGCAAATATAGAATCTTCCTCCATAAATAAGGCATTCGTTTACAAACATCGTAGCATTGGCTTCTAGTTTGACTTGACCACTGCTTCTCAATAAACTCGTTAATCAACTCAGAGAACATTGGTGTTTGGTGCGTCCTTGAGTACGGTAGAGGGAACCCACAATCACAACCAATATTCGCCAGTTTCTGACTCTTCATATTCACAGATATACACGAGTCCACAAAGTATTTGTACAACGATTCATCTTTGATAACTGTGTCCAACAATTCATTTTTCTTCTCAGATTCATTTAGGTAACTAAGGAAAATATTATTAGGTACAAATTTAGATTCGTCAAAAGCTCCAATGTGAATACAATAACTTTCTAATTGTAACATAAGTGAGTAGATCTGGCTAATATCACAGGCATAGTTTTCAATAGTAGCAACTAAATTCGATCCATCTGTTTCCTTACCGACTACACTTAATTTATAATATTGATACAAACTTTTGTTCACTTTGTCCCTTTCTAAACTGTTATTATCTACTTCTATGGCCTTTTGACTAGATTCTTTGTAGATGATATCATTATCATATACAAGTGGAGTTTGTTCTACAGGTTCATCTGCATCTATTGTTGTAATTACGTCTTGGGTTTCTTGTTTTTCTATAACTGGTACTTCTTTCACTTCCTGATGTTTTTCAACACTAAGATGTTTCATTTCCTCCCATTTCTCTTTCAGTATCTTTTTGCTACTATTTAGTTTATCAGACACACTCAAACTCAGATCTTTTAATGTTTGCATTGCTTCTGGAGGCAATGAGGTGAACTTGAAGTCATCGTTTAGTTTTGTGTCACTTTCTAATAACGACGATTGAGCATGATAAGTATTGTCCACTATATATATCCCTGATTTTAATTGTGTAGCATCATTCGATTTTAGTCCCTCAAACTTATCTAATACGTCTTTAATGCTGTCCAATAACTCTTTATTACCTAATTTATCTTTCAAACTCACTAGGATATGCAATTTCTGCGACAAATTACTTTCCAATAAATAATTTTTATACAAGGCACACAGTTCTGCACACAACACGTATTTCTCATCTACATAACACTTTACTAAGAACTTGTCCGTTTTCATGTATTTCAAGGTAACCAGAGAGCCGTTTGATAGCCACACATAGATCATGTCATGGTATACTTTACAGTCAACAACATCTTTGTAGTCATCAAACCAAATTGTATTGTCAACATCATAAATGTTTAAGAAGTACAAAGCGTTTCTTCTGTACGAAAATATGGCTCCATTAGTTGCGAAAATATTGGGAAAGTTCACTGATTGTCCCTCAGCGTCGCTGTCAGTAGCATCTAAGCTAACTTTTTCATTCTGATATGATTCATTGGACACAAGTTTCATAGCTTTCTTCCCTAAAACTTGCTTGAATTGGTGAGTTCTGATAACAGTGCCATCTATCGTGGCTTCCCACACTCTAGAAGATGGTCTAGCGCAGAAAATTAATGTGTTCTCAAGGTCTTTGCCTACAGCAAACCCTGAATCATCATTGACGATGTTATATTTTCTTACTTCGGTAAAGTCTTGAGTTGTTTTGGTAACGTGTTGTTCGTTATTTGTTTGTTTATCTACGAAACAGGCACCGTACTCTCCATCGCGTAGTTTTTGGCCTATTTGTCGGTACTGTTCTCGAGAAGTGTCACAGACATAGCATCTGGTTAGAGTTGATACAAGTAACATGCATGACTTCATGTCCAATTGACAAATACGAGAATCGAGACTCATGATTGTCAGTGACGAGCTCTGAAACATTGTTTTTGCCTGAAAAGAGTAAGGTATAGTGTAAAAATAATATCAAAATTATCACAGGACTAAATACACATCATGACACATCTCTACATTGCTTTGTTGGTCGAGTCAGGAGTGGTTTTATTCCCGAATGGGGTATAGGAATTAGAACTTGTTCAGATTTTTATATAGGCTCATGTCCACGGGACTTGTTATGTAACATAACTAGTTAGGGTGTTACATTGTATTTTTTTAAGGGGGGAAAGTCATCGAATGACTGATCCCCTGGGTGAGGCGGGGGGGAGTGTCACTCTTACTGACTAAAAACCACCCCGTTCATCTCCTGCACGTCGAGCCGGAGCCCCGGTAACCCGTTAGGTTCTCCGCGACGGTAACCCGTTAGGTTCTCCGCGACGTGTTACATTGTATATATAACGCCTCTGTGTATCCATTTGGAGAATAAAAAGCGTAACATTATGCGTATATGTCATTATTATTAGTTTCACAATAATTGAGTACTTGCCAACTAGTCAATTTCAATACTTTTTTCGAACTGTCAAAAACGAAAGTTTTCTACGAATTTTGTAAGAGATTGTGTGAATACGAACGTGACGTACGAATAGTGACGTCACTATTTAATAGAGTCAAACTGCATACTTATTTGTAAAAAACTTGTTGGAAAAATACTAAAATTAAGTGAGTCATAAAATCAATTAATGAAAGTGTGGTTATTTTATAACATTTTATTGTATTGGTCAGTCGAACTAATTTATTTTTGATTAAGTCAAGTATCCAATTCCAAAGCAATTAAAGGAAAAATAAACACGCCACTAGCCAATTATCTTTCAATGAAATTTGACGATCATTTAAACCAATAAAACTGTTTGTTAAGGAGAAATCGTCCTTGAAAACATATGTACAAAGTACATAATAAAAAAGACAAATAAGTGAATTTATTAACCATTAAATGGAAACTGGTATATTATCGCTATGTATTCACGTTTGCACGAATTCTATTGTCATTTAAATTAATACAATACTGTAAATATCACGAAACATCATATTGTTGTTACTACTATCAAGTATTAATATCCGCTTTGTATATCAATACGTATACTATTGAAATTCTATATTATTCTGATTCACAATTTAGTGTTTGTATTTGTAGTACAACTTGGGACAAAACAAAAAGCGGTGTATTGTTAATTCATCCAGAACATCATGCCACGGTTTTTTGGTCCTTAAATGGATAGGCAGAGATGCATAAATGTAAAATGTGACACAAACATTTATCTAGTTTTTAAGGATTTCTTTCAGACCATACTAATACAGACATTAAAAAAAACATTGCCCAATCCAATCAAACCCGAGACCCTTTGCTCAACAGTCGCACTTGCAACCACTCGACTAACGAGGCAGTCATGTCAGAAACTTTGCCATACATAACATAACATCACGCCTTTTATCCCCGAAGGGGTAGGCAGAGGTGCACATTAATTAGGCCAGTTAATGCCACTGTACAATTTAACACCTACTTTTCACTATTTATGTTATGAGTCTCATGTAATAGGGAGTGAGCCTATTGCCATATACCGGGCAGCCGGGCACATCCGTGCTACTATAAGAATATTTTTTTAAAAACCCAATAATACTTTGCCCGACCCGGGAATTGAACCCGAGACCCCTTGCTCAACAGTCGCACTTGCAACCACTCGACCAGTGAGGCAGTCGTGTTAGAAACTTTTCCGTACAATAATAATTACTAGTAGCACTTACTATAAAGTTCTGCGGCTGCAACACTGATATTTTACCAACATCATCTCCCATGAAAAGCATATGATTGGTACTCCAGATCATGGCTGTGATCTCATTCCCTTGATGTTCTTTAGACACAACGGTGGAATGACCACCACTGAGGGACTGATTGCACTCAGTAACCGTGGCCAAGCCCCTGCCGTTAGCAAAGCCAATTTGTTTCTCATCCTTCGAAATTGCCAAACGTGTGATGGCTCCATCCTGTAATGCAATATTTAATTATTTTAATATGGCACGAAAGTAAATACATTACTCAATACTTATATTTAGTACCTGTAACATAATTAAAATATGTGTAAAAAAATTTAGTTATTACAATGGGGATGATGACAGGGTATGAAAATTAAAAATATAATTAGTCCGTAAGTTAGGTAATGAAAAAATATTAGACACGTATTTTTTTATTTTGTCGTATAATAAAACAATACTTAGATAAAACGAAACAAAGTTTAGGAGTGGGGGCTAAAACGTCATTTCTTAGTATAAAATGTACTGAGAAGTGACGTCACGCGACATTTCAAATCAATATATCTTCGAAACTATTCGTTTCTGTGAGAAAAGAAAAAATACGTGTCTAATGTTTTTAAATAATCTACCAGACGGACATTAAAATAAAAATTAGTCGTCTACCCTATTGGGCCATACTAATTACTAAGAGGTGATTTGTTTGGTTTTTTGTTTGGAGTGCTTGGGCAATTAGCTGCTGCAGAACATTGAGCAAGGAATAGATATCCATTATACTTTTTTTTACTCAGGAACTACCTTTCCCACTACCTTTCAACTGATATTTGATATCATTGAGTAGCAACCGGGTGGCCCAGGCGCACCACCCATGCAGACTTTTTCTCAAAAGATTTTAACAATTCATATATGAATGAGATAGTTATGGATATTATGAGATGGGATGATGTAAAATGTCGCGATTGTTTAAGATGTGAGAAGATGGATGGCTTTAAGTAATAGTTTTAAGTTAATCAATTTAGTTTTAAGTACCTAATTATAATTTTTGTACTTTTTACATAAGATACCTATTACATAAGTGTAAAGTAGTATTTATGAGTTAATTTTGAACTTTACAATGTTTCGGCTTGTGCTGTATAATTACGAATTTGTTTATGAATAAATAAATAAATAAATAAATACAAGAATCTATGATAACTAGTCAGAATATAAAATTGAAATCAAGTTTTTGAAATAAATTAATTAATCTATACATCTATCTATACATATAATAAAATTGTAGAAAAGTGCTGTCTGTACATTGAAAATAAAAATAAAAAAAATAGCAGGGGTTATTGTTATGTCGATGTCGAACCCAAAAATGTAATTAAATTTTTTTTTGTCTGTTTGTCTGTTTGTCTGTTCACGCTAATCTCAGAAACAGTTGATCCGAGTTGGATGCGGTTTTCACGAATATATTGTGGTATGCTTCAGTTATGCTTTAGTGTTTGTTTCATGCCAATCGGTTCATAAATAAAAAAGTTATGTCAAATTAAAGAATCACGTCGTGAGTATATATTTAAAAAAGAAAAACGCTGCTCATAGTCACTATTCCACGCGAACGAAGTCGCGGGCACAGCTAGTTAAGAATATAATGAATAGTTTCTTTACCTTATTTGGTATTAATTGTACAAATTCACATGGTGTCCGGTTAAATACGTAGATGCCTCCACTGGTAGCCCCAAACGCAATCAACGACTTTGAAATGTCAAAACATGTGTACTGGAAATGAAATTCAATATATCAAAAAACCATTCAGAAGGTATATAAACAGTGTGTACATTAGTTAGTAAATTAAATTACTCAAACACCATTCAATTTAAGGACATTAACAATAGTTCTGTCACTACATTTTTTTGTAAAATGCAGAGATAGCACAATATTACTTAAGCACAACATAAAATTGAGTAGCATTTCAGTATTTGGGAGTTAACTTTATACAAAAAATAATTAACATATCCTTACAACATTGTAATTAATCCACCAAATTAATTTGTTTCTTCTTGGTGTGGAATCACAAAAACAATTTGATAAATGTATCAAAGGATTATCAACTGTACAATACTAAATTATGTAGTCTTTTGGATTAATAAAATTGTATCATTGTTTAGGAAAAGAAACAAGATTTAAGTTTATTTTGATGTTTCCTATTTCAATAACTGTTAGGAAATACCGAAATTTTGTGCAACTGCTATACTCAGAGTCATGTTATTATTATGATTACATTACATATATACAACATGTAATGTAATTAACGCACACCCTCAAACACCCCAATTAGAATATTATGTTATAATCATAATACCTACACCAAATTTTTAATTTAACATGTATATGCATCCTTACTGGTCTTGTCATAAGGTTTATTTTTCTTTATTTTGTATTGAATGATAGAATTTGTATGAATACAAACTGCGATTTTAAAAGTATTATTGCATATTTATTACATGGGACTCATAACATAAATAGTGAAAAGTGGGTGTTACATTGTACAGTGGCATAATGTGCACCTCTGCCTACCCCTTCGGGGATAAAAGGTGTGATGTTATATTTATATATTTATATTATATAAAGAAGTTAACTCAGCCCTAGGTAGTAATTGTTTTCAGTAATAGAACAAAATAATTACTTAGGAAAAATTTAAGTAATCATTAAATGATCTGAGTACAGCAGTTAGAGCGCTATTAGTAAAACTTATGTATGTATCATTATCGAGAGTGACTTAAGAAAGATACCAATTAGATTTCCAAAATTTTAATTCAAATATGCTTAGGTACTTAGGTAATGGACAAAGTTAATTAATGCCTAAAAGTCAATTGTGGAAAAGTAATACAGAATTGACTATTAAGTCTCGGGTGTTGAGCTTTAGTTTAGTTCTCATATATTATCTGTGTAACCTGTACTTGTACACGGATACCACCCACCAACCAAGTTTGTTAACTCACTTACTTTACTGGATACTTGCCTGGTTATTTCATAAGAATACATTAGGCACACAAAAACATCATTTTGAACATTCATTAAAAATACAATTCAGTAAATCAATCCTGTTATAAAAATGTCTATAAATTGAAGATTGTATTGATAATATTCTAAGACATTCGGCCAAATAATTTTGAACAAAGGCCAGAGACTGAAATATTCTCACTAACCTTTATACGTTGAACATTTTTTATCGGGTAATTGATACTTTCTGTGATATCTGGTAGCTCTTGTAGTAAGTATGGTGGCAAATCGGAACAAGACATGTTTAATTGATCATTTTTTAATTTATATTGTGTGTTTTCATCACCTCCTTTTCTCCACTGTGTCGTGGGGCTGCATAAACAGGTGTCAAGTCAATGTCATATGTCAAATTGTCAATGTCAATTGTCAAAATTAGTCGTCAGTGTCATAGCTGTCAGTCAAATTTATTTAATCTTGTTTTAGTGTTGCTAAATAAGTATTTCATTTATTACAATATTTTTGGATAGACGATAAAATGATCTAAACTTTTATTCATGTAGGTAGAACAGGTAAAATGGATTAAGCACACTGAGTTTGCGTAAAATGGATGACTATCTTTCATTCATGCATGATTCATTTACAGTACTCAATTAACATTTTAAAATTAATGAACAATATTTATGGTTATCTGCTTTATTAATTTTTAGGCATAGTTGTAATTATAGTACCTATGTCTACTTAAATCATAAAACTAAATGAGGGCACTAGAGTCATGCACAGGCACGGCATGCCGAAATGATCTAGGTGGAAAAAAATTTTTTCACTTTTTATTTCGTGAATGACAAGTATTTCAAATTGAAACAATGAATTTTATTGATTATACATATAGCCTAGGTGATTTAATAGCAATTATTATTAAAAATAATACATGATTAATTCAGAAGTTAAATTATAGCTTCATTTTTTTTCGCACACTTGGAGCGACGACAGCGCTCCTTTTTTGTTTTTAAACTTTTTAGCATGTTCACCATTCGGACGATTTGCGAAAAACGTTGTCTTCACTCTTGGATTTGCACTGCAAGTAACGGTTATTAACTTTTGAGTTTTTGTGTGATTAATCAAATAGGTAATTGGGTTGAGGTCCTATTTGTCCAGGTAACATGGGAGAACCATGTTTCACATGGCTGAGCCATGCTTCGGCGCGAATGGGCTGTCTTTAAAGGGGTAATACAACGGCATCACAGGAAATCAGAAAAGCTAGCGAAACACAATCGCTGTGTAAGTTTAGTTACTAGAGGCCCAATTCGGGAATCCCAGCTCCAGTGCCCAAATTCCCAATTCTCAATTTCCGAAAGGCCGGCAACGCATTCTTCTGGTGTTGTAAATGTTCATAGATGCGCCGATTGCTTACTATGAGCTGGTCAGTCTGCTCGTTTACTGCCCTTTCCCATAAAAAACTGATTTGGTTTATAGTAGACTTGGTTTCAAATAGTTGGTTATTGGACAAACTGAACCTAACGCTACATTAGCGCCATTTGGTTGAAAATTAAAATAGTTCCATCCTATACAACGTGCTACTAATGCTAGAAGCATAGTTATGTATCCAGTTATGAAATTGAAACAACTAGATATATACCTGCATGTTTTACCAACGGACTTTCCAAGGTTAGTCTTCTTGGGGTCAACTCTTAGTAATTCTGGTTTCTCTGTAAAATATGAAATGCATTACAGATTTTACCGGAGTAAATATCAAGTTCTGAATTCGAAATTATCTAAGTTAACTTTCGGACTTCACTTTATTAGTGCGCTCAGCCCTAAGTACATACCTACTTAGGTAACTATATCTATCTGCGAATACTCACGTCGTATGATTGTTTTGAATGTTGCGGTCTCTGAGCCGATCTCATTTGTAGCTACACATGCATACGACTTGGTATCTGCTAATTTCGGATATTTTATTACGAGTGCACCATCTTCTACCACATACTTAGAATCTGAAATAATTTAATTATTTATTTTTATTTGCCTTACTGGGTTTATATTATGGTTGCTCAAATGCTCACGTTAGGTACGTGCAATCTCTAAGACAAAAAGTGAAGTTTATCAAAATTATACCGCTGACTCATGTTAAAGAAATTCGAGAGAATTTCTATAAGTTTCAAGTCTCGTGGGGAATCTTTTTCATGACTTTTTTTTTTATTAAGCGGGGGAAATCATCGAATGGCTGCTCCCGCCTGGGTGAGGCGGAAGGGAGTGTCAGACTCTTACTGACTAAAAACCACCCCGTTCCTTCTCCTGCACGTCGAGCCGGAGCCCCGGTTACCCGTTAGGTTCTCCGCGACTCCGAATCGGCATCGGCCCTATTGGGCCCCATTTGTGGTGGTCTGATGGCTCTTTGAAGCGCGCGCGAAACGCGACGCACCGTACGCTCGGGTCTGTTTCTGATCGGACGGGGAGCCACCCATGCTCGCCGTCCGCAGGCCCGCGCTTACGGTGGCCGGAGGTCGTCTCACGATCCCCGACGCCCGGTGTGTCCTTCGCGATGGCTGGGTTGCGAGGAGGCAGCGCTTCGCTGCCTCACGCGGCCCGCCTCCTCCTTAGCTAGCATGACTACTTCGCAAAAGGAGGAGACGGCATCCCAGTCTCCCTCGCTCCGCATCATGGCCCGCACTAGGCCCGGACGCGAGAGGTCGCCATCGCCGATCACTTCCCTGAGGGCACGGCGGTGCTCAGCCCACGCAGGGCATTCCGCTACAGTGTGTTCCACCGTGTCCTCAGGGCGGTCCTCGCAGTGATGACACCCGGGCGTTTCCTCCCGCCCCATCAGACACAGGTACCTCCCGAAACTTCCATGTCCGGTGAGGACCTGCGTCAGGCGGTAGGTGAGGATGCCGTAGCGCCTCTCAAGCCACTCCTCAAAGAGGGGACTTACCGCTGCGATGGCAGCGAGCCCATTTCATGACGCTACTCATGGTATTTTGGTTGGCAGCGACGTTATTCAATAATGCTTAAAAATAACAATTGACATTTTTTTTTGAGGGGGGAAAATCGTCCATTGACTTCTAGGGAGTGTCAGACTCTTACTGACTAAAGACCACCCCGTTCCTACTCCTGTACTTCGAGTCGGAGCCCCGGCAAGCCCTTAAGTCTTCCGCGGCGCCGTATCGGCATCAGCCCTGTTAGGCCCCATCTGTGGTGGTCTGATGGCTCCCTGAGGCGCGCGCGGAACGCGACGCGCCGTACGCTCGGGCCTGGTTCTGGTCAGGCGGCGAGTCACCCATGCTCGCCGTCCGCAGGCCCGTGCTTACGGTGGCCGGAGATCGTCTCGCGATCCCCGACGCCCGGAGTGTCTCTCGCGACGGCCGGGTCGTGAGGAGGTTCGTTCCCTCACGCGCTCCGCCTCCTCCTTAGCTAGCATGACTGCTTCGCAGAAGGAGGAGACGGCATCCCAGTCCCCCTCGCTCCGTACCATGGTCTGAACCAGAGCCGGACGCGAGAGGTCGCCGTCGCTGATCACATTCCTGAGGACACGGCGGTGCTCAGTCCACGTAGGACACACCGCCACCGTATGCTCCACCGTGTCCTCCGGGCGACCCTCGCAGTGATGACAAATAACAATTGACCTGGGTTAGCATAACCGTAGTGTTAATAGTTCTAGTATTATTACATCAACGAAAGTCTGATCGAATGCAGTGATTTTAATTAGGTAATAGTAATGTCATGGATGGAGTTGCTTACTTGGCACTGCAATGGGCCTACCGTCCATTTTCCAGGTGATCTTTGGTTTTGGCTCTCCAACGGCGACACATGGTATCTTCAAATCAGTGTCTCCCTCAAAAGCTTGATATATAATAGACCTACGCGATAATATTTTTGGTATATCTGTAAGGGACATTGTATATATGAATAATTATTTTATTATATTTAAACAAGAGCTGCCAAAATGACAGTGCAACTAATGCTTTTGGTGTTGAAGGTGAACTCTCAAGCTATGGTAACCTTTTTTTTTGAGGGGGGAAAATCATACAGTGACTTCTCCCGCCCGGGTGAGGCGAAAGGGAGTGTAAGACTCTTCTTACTGACTAAAAACCACCCCGTTCTTACTCCTGCACGTGGAGCTGGAGCCCCGGCAAGGCGGCAACCTGTTAAGTCTTTCGCGGCTCCGTATCGGCATCAGCCCTGTTGGGCCCCATCTGTGGTGGTCTGATGGCTCCTTGAAGCGCGCGCGGAACGCGACGCGCCGTACGCTCGGGCCTGGTTTTGATCGGGTGGCGAGTCACCCGCGCTCGCAGTCCGCAGGCCCGCGCTTCATGTGGCCGGAGATCATTTCGCGGCCGGAGATCGTCTCTCAAGCTACGGTAACCTGACTACTCACTATTAGAAGGGCTATAGGCTTTGTACGTTACTGACAGTAGGTAGTGTATCTAATGGCATATCTATGACCTCAATAAACATTCATTTTGATAAATGGCACGTTGTTATGTAATTGGTAAGTACTTCGTTATCCCTTAGCGTCCATATTTTTAAAGCTCAATTTGTTAAAAAATTACAATATTCGTAGAAAACCAGATTTACTACTATACCTTGTACGATTAAAGTTGTAACTTTTTCATCCATATATGTTCCCATTCCTGCCACACACTTGTACTGACCCTCGTGTTTGGTTTCTACATTTTTAATACGTAGCTCCCTTCCAACTTTACCTAGTGGTTCAAACTTGGAACCAGATTTACCTCTAAACTGCCATGCGATGGCTGATTTTGGTACACCAGTCACCCTATAAGTTAATGACATATCATATTGGTGAAAATGAAGTTTTTAGAATTATAATAATTATATAGAAGAATAATTAAATAATAATATTATATTATTTTTATAGAAGAATAATGTGCCTTTGTTATTGGAATTTATACTGTCCTGGTATCTTGACGTCTTATTAATAAAGCTTGGTAGTCTTCATTCTTAATAAATATCAAGAATTCTAGATGAAAGATGGATCTTGACATAACTTGGATGTTACATACGATATTTTTATAATTACTAGCTTTTGCCCGCGGCTTCGTACGCGCAATCCCGTTTCTCCCATTCCCAATTCCGATTTTCAGGACGTTTGCCTAAGATCCTCTCTTGACGATAACAAACACAACAACAAAAAAATCAGCCAAATCGCTCTAGACGTTGTCAAGTTATGGCGTGACAACGGAAAACGGGTTTCATTTTTATATATGTAGATTACTAAGTACTTACTTGCATTTTAAGACGGCAGTTTTACCTTTGACCGTTCTTACGTATTCCGGTTTATCTATATCTACTTTAGGTACAGCTGAAATTAAAGTATTTGTTACAATAAGATGAGGCGTTGAATTATTTGTATATTTCTTTATTTATTATTAAGTTGAGTTCTATGGTCAAAAAATAGGTACAGTCAAAGGCCAAAAGTCCACTGCCACCGTGAGTGATGTTCACACGGCGATGCGAAGTAATTTCATACTAATGTTCATAAAAACGCGTGCGTACGCATAAACACACGCACGCGTACGCACACGGATAGAAATACGTGTGCATGTGTGTATAAGTGCAGCCGATAGTAGTCTTACGTTGGACTTTTGACCTTTGACCGTACCTACGTTAAATTTTTCGTTCCGATATTCATGTCATGGTTACTAACAACCAAAACTTTTAAAAAACTCAACCGGTGCTGATAAAGTTTCAAAATAAATCGCATTACTTACCCGAACCAGTCATTTGAACTCGCACCTTCAACTTCGTTTTAATACCTTTATTGTTAACTAAGTAAGCAGAGCAGATATATTTTCCTTCTAAATGAGAATCCATTTTCTTTATTGTTAATTCCGTTTTGTCTGCTGATAGCGAGTAGTCGTCAGAATCAATTACTTTGTTTTTCATTCCAGAAATTTCATCTATATGGTACCAAATGGTTTTTTTAGGAAATTTTGACTTGATTTCACATTTTAGGACTCTCGACTTGCCATATTCCACATTCACATCTAAAAAATGAAGTTATTTAAGCCTTTGACTGCCAACAGAAAACAGTTAAAGTCAAATCCTCCGTTAACGTACGTCACCGGTGACCTACGTGGCGGTTAGATTAGAGAAGATAAAATAAGAAGCCTTCATTTCCCAGTACCCTAATAATACTCCAGGTTAGTATTACACTAGGGAGTAGGCCCCTTCTCGAGTGAAGGCCTCCTCCATATGCATATGTGAGTACCATGTTAGACTATAAGATGTTTAAGTTTTGTAATTAGTACCTATAATTTGCATTGTTCTCACATATACGTACAGTATTGGAATATGTATCAGAGACATTGTAGACCATACTTTTTTTAAAAGAGTAACAATGGAGTTTCTTGCTCGTTCTTCTCCATTCAAATCTATATTTTGGAATGAGCACCTAGCTTCACCTACCTTCACTGACGGACTGACTGATAGACTATATATTATTTATTTTGTATTTGTTGACGTTTCAAAAGAACCAAAATACCTATGGTTTAATTGAAATAAATGCTTTGACTTTGACTTTGACTCCAGTTGTTTCCAATGCCCTCTGTCTTTAGCCGTGGTTTGCCAATCGTCTTCTGCTATTTCTTTTAAGTCATCAGCCCATCTTTTTTTAGATTTGCCTATTTTTCTTTTACCTGTGGGCCCTTTCCACTTTGAGGCTTTGGTGGTCCAACCGCTACGTTAAAACTGAACTTGGCGGTTAACGAACAATAGTCTTAATTGGAACCAAGTATTCAATATTTACATTTATGCCCCGACAACAAGATTGATGTTTGACACAACAAATAAACTCCCAAACGTCGATGTGTAGGAAGCGTTTGAATACATTGCAAACTGTTTGTCGAACAGCGTGGCGAACACAACCAAGAAGAGGCACACATACAAACCCATCCACATGTTCGTGTTTTGATGTTTACTTTGCTATTGTTTTTCAAGCGTCTGGATCACTTAAACCAGTTTACAATTGATTTCACTTTAATAGATTAATATATAAAATTCACCGAATGGACACCAAACAAAAAAAAGTAGATAAAATAAATAACTTGTGACTTACTGCGAAGAGTATTATTTATAGTAAATGGCGACATTACGCTGACCATAATTCCTGCATTACCCATTCCAGCATCATTAACTGCATGGCACATGTAGGTGTCGTTTACTGCGGTTGCAATTTCCAGGTAACTTATGTAGTCCGTCGAATGGTTAACCACAGAACTCTGAAAGTTCATCAACACAATGTTTTGGAGAGGTTTCCGAGTGTTTAAATGTTCATCGAACAATGTGGACAAGAACAAAAGACGTTGATCTAAACCAGAGCCCTAAATTGTATCATTACTGAGTTTTCTGGTTGAATATTAAACATATAGAACTATCGTTATGTGACATGTGACACAAAATTTTAAAATAATGTGAATTTATTTACTACTAGGTGTGGCCCGCGATTTCGTCCGCGCAGAATATGAATTTTAAGACATAATTTTGTTTAGTTTCTTTTCCAAAAATAAAAGTATCCTATGTTGCTCCTCTTTAACACATCAGCTAACTGCCAGTAAAAGTCTCGTCAAAATATGTCCAGCCATTCCATAGATTAGCCACTACAAACAGAACAGACAAACAGACAAAAAATTGTAAAAATGTTATTTTGGTATGTGTATCGTATGTATGGTTATTTTAATATTACAAACAAACACTCCAATTTCATTGGTATGTATAGATTTCGTCTCCACATTACTGCCTGATTACAGACAACATTATTTTTGTTTAACACCATGGTTAATATGAGTGAGTAGGTATTATCATAGGTATAATTAAATTACTCACGTACTTTGGAAGGTAATGAAAGTCCCTCTTTGTTGTACCAAGTTATCCTAGGGCTGGGATATGCTGTTACTTTGCAAGTTAATTTCAAGGAACTGTTGTATTCTACAGACATGTTTTTGCCCTCAGCAATCACCACTTTAGGTATTTGCTCATCTGGTATTTCTAGAAACATTAAGTATTCGTACTTAGCATCATATTGAATTATTCAGTATTTAAATGTTTCTATTTATTAAACGGTTCTGTTTAGCTTTCCTGCTTGTTTGTTTGTTTGGTAGGTTGAAAATAAAAAAATATAGTATCTATCGAATGAATCAACATATCTATCGATTAAAGTTGTAACCGTCTCATCCTTACATTTGCCTATTTCTGTCATACACTTATACTGACCCCCGTGTTTGGTTTGTACGTTTTTAATACGTAGCACGCTTCCAGTTTCACCCAGTGGTTCATACTTGAAACCAGATTCTCCAAGATCCAGATCTTCCAAACTGCCATTCGATATACCTATTTCTTACACGACTACCATTAAGTAAATATGAAATGAAAGAGCTGGATTGGTGGAAGACCATTAAAACCGTTTAGCACAAAAAATGTATTAGGTGCTTGTGAGGTCATACATTTTTAGTTGTACCAATGTAGTCAGAGAAAATAATATACATATATTTATACTTACGGAGTGCGACATTGTTTAATACTTTATAATGATAGTGACAATAAACTTAGACCTAATTACTAGTCAATGGTAACTTACTTATTGAATTCGAGCTTGTTATAGGTATCTTCGCGTAGCGCTTTATTAGGCGACCCGTTTTTTTTACTGTCCCGGTCACCTATGCAGTAAGGTAATATTAATTTAAACGTTTGAGAAATTATGCTTAGATATTCGATTATGGTATCTAACTCTGAAGCAGAATAATTTTCTTTTAAATATTTTTTTGTGACCTACCGGGGCTTTTGCTTGTACCTACAAACAAAATCCCCGCACGGAGGGGCTTCGTCAATTCAATTGATGTCTAAAATGTTTTGCAGTTCCAATTCATTCTTGGGGGTAGATCGCTATTTGTGGAGCACCACCAATATATTTACATTAATAGTAAAATTACGGTATGTCGAGTAATATTAATACTTACCGCTACTTTAAACATTTCTGTCGGTGTAACTAAAGACTGGGTAATGTAAAAATCTTTAGAAATTTTGGTCAAAGGAAGATCTGGTTTGAGTCGTTTATCGTCCATTCCTAAGATCTGTGCCTTTGTTATTTCCACTGTTTGTCGTTCATCAGTGACTAATACTGATAAGAAATGGGCATCTTCATCTAAAAAAAAAATATGGAAGTAGAGAAGTAGAAGTAGGTAAAAAGGGAAGCAGTAGTAGAGAGTAGTAGCTTAAAACTCTGAATAGGGTAGATGACTATTTTTTATTATAATGTCCGTCTGGTAGATTATTTAAAAACATTAGACACGTATTTTTTATTTCCTTACAGATTTTTTTTTAAGACGGGATAATCATCGCATTACTGCTCCCGCCTAGAGTGAGGCGGGAGGGAGTGTCGGATTCTTACTGACTAAAAATCACCCCGTTCCCACTCCTGCACGTCGAGCCGGAGCCCCGGTTACCCGTTAGGTTCTCCGCGACTCCGAATCGGCATCGGCCCTGTTGGGCCCCATCTGTGGTGGTCTGATGGCTCTTTGAGGCGCGCGCGGAACACGACGCGCCGTACGCTCGGGTATTTCCTTACAGATACAAATACTTTCGACGATATATTATCTAATTTGAAATGTCGCATGAAGTCACTTATAGAGACATTCTATACGTAGAAAGACGTTTTTACTCCCACACCTAAAATTTGATCCGTTTTATCTAAGTTGTCTTGTTTTCTTATACGACAAAATTAAAAAATACAGGTCTAATATTTCTTCATTACCTAACTGACGGAACAATTAGAATTTTAATTTTAATACCCTGTCTTCATCCCAATTGAAATGAATTGAAAGTTTCAAGCTAACGTGTTTCACGATTTAAATAGACAAGATGATACGAAACGATTTTAATTCGAATAAGTAAATAAACATAAAGATGCCTCGTTTGGGTCACCGAGCGAGGTTCCGTAAGTTATCTATGGATACTAGATGATCTTCTGGTATTGCAGGTGCCAATGGTCTGTGGCGATTGCTTACCATCAGGTGCTATAAAAACGTTGTTTTGTTCCAGTGAAGTGTCTGGTGTCGGTCACCGGTGACCGCTCTCTACTAACTACATTACAGACCTTATTTCCGATGTTCGGAGACTACTGTTGTATGAACAAATTTAGGGATTTTCAACAGGTTAAAGACATATTAAATAACAGTCATCTTAATAATTAACGAATTGTAGGTTTTCAATAAGAACCTTAGCTGTTGGTACAGTATAACATCAATATGAAGAACTCACCATTTAATGGTTGGGTATAGGTTTCGTTAAATGAGTTGGGCTTCAGCTTCGAGAAACCATGGTTGAAAAAAAAATCAGACCAACCCATTATGAGGATGGATGTCTGTGATGGATGTTTCAGGGTGAATCTGTACCTACCCAACTCGGTATAAAACAACTTCGTCGCCTAAAACAATAAAATTATATGTACCTACCTAATTATAACTATACTTAATTTATTTGTTGTATATTTAAGGTAAAAATTGTAATATTATGCAAAAATTAAGAATAGTATCTACCTGATTGATAAATATTGAAAAATAATGCTTAGTATATAATAATAGATACAGATGATAATATTTTGCGTTTAAAATAGACTTTAAAAACTAAAAACAAACAAAAAGATAAACTAAAAAGCAATTAAGGTCTTTATCATTATAAAGGTGTTTATCATTAATACGACCTATTAATACTCACTTCAGCATTGTTATACTTCATTATAGTAGTTTGGGTTGGGTTGACATATCCAGCTATGGCGATATCTACTTCCTTACCCGACACGGAGACGATGACATTCTCAATTAGGTCATCTACGTCGTACTGAAACAGTTCCATTGTGTATTTTGTCAAACATCGTATTTTGTACGAGCAGGAGACGCGCGTTTTCGGCGCCGTAGACGCTGATTGTTGTGTTTTCATTGATGATACTGTTCAGCGTAGAAATAATCTTTCTAAAAGATGCATTCGGCCAACGCGATACTACTACTTATTGTGTTGTCCCATAGCTCGATAGATGGCGTTGGCCGATTTAAATACAAACACATTATCGTTGTGGCACGTAGGTTAAGACGCCCGCTTATTATGCATGAGGGTGTGAGTTCGAAACCTACCAACAGCAAGTACCAATCTTACTTTTTCCGAGTTATATATATATATATATATATGTGTACTTTCTAAGATTATGTAGACACCACTGACAATTAATGGTGAAGGAGAATATTGCGAGGAATCCTGGACTAGTAATTTCTAAACTTAAGTTTGAAATCGCCAACCCGCAATAAGCACGTGTGGTGATAAATGCTCGAACCTGCTCCGTGTGAGAAGAGGCTTTTTAGCAGTGGGCACTTACAGGCTGTTCATAATGACAAAATCGTGTACAATGAAGAGAAAACTACCGCGCCCCACGTGCGCCTCAGTTGTTATTGTTTTATTATGTGTTACGAGCGACTACAGCGCGTATACGCGCGTCATCTGCGCTTCCCAGCGCATATAAAATACGCCGTGTGCTATGGGTCTTAGGTAATGTCCTTTCAAAAAATTACATCTAAATCTTCAATACAAGGATCACTCACCGAAATTTCAGTCGGAACACCCGCGGCTGGAACAGTCTTTGCAGTAATTATAACGTTCTCGCCACTTACAATCTCACGTATATAAGATAATACCTGGAATTAACAGTAATTATTAAAAAAGTCTGCCTCGTTGGCCGAGTGGTCGCAAGTGCTGCTGCCAGGCAAGGGGTCTCGGGTTCGATTCCCGGATCGGGCAAAGTATTACTAGGTTTTTAAAAAATTCTCAGTAGCACGGAGTCTGGAATTGTGCCCGGTATATAGCAATAGGCTCACCCCTATTACATGGGGCTCATAACATAAATAGTGAAAAGTGGGTTTTACATTGTAGAGGTACAGTGGTATAATGTGCACCTCTGCTTACCCCTTTGGGGATAAAAGGCGTGATGTTATTATATAAGGAACGTTAACAGAATATAATTATTCTTTTATTTTAGGGATGTTAAGGAGCAATGTGAACCAAATGTATGGAGTCTGGGAGTCTAAACCCACTCGTCAATAGCTCGTCATTCTTAAATGAAAGAAAAGAAAGAAAAACCATTTATTTTTGCGCAAAACACACATAACATAAAGAAAAATAAAAATAAAATAAAATAAAAGCTAAAAATATAAAATGAAGTGAAGTCTTGTCCATGGTCCACAGACTTATTATTTACTGAAATTATAGAATACTTAATACCTAACATTATCTGTGGACCATAGACAAGGAACACCCATGCATGCATTTCATAAAATTGGATGGAGTATATTATTATATAAAAGTTTAATTATATAAAACAATACGAATCAATTATAGGTACTTGATGCTAGCGTAACCCCTTGCCCCAATATTGTGCGTCATGTATGCGTGCGCAAAAACAGGAAATGCTCAGCAATTTCTGCGACTTAAACCTCAAGAGGTTAGCGTCGCAGCGCTGATTTTCAGCACATCCCTGGGTGACGTAATGGCGTCCCGCCAGCTTCACTATTCGCCAGATGTGTGTTCGCGATCATGAATGCAAAGCAACGAATGACGTGAGTGTAGACCATGATTCACTTAACTTGTAGATGTAGTGACGTGAATTGTTACTATAAAGCAGTAGTGTACCGTGTGTGAGTGTAATATGAAGTGTGTGTTTTGTATTTACAGCAAGTAGCCGGCATAACCTGTAAAATACAGATATACCTATATTGAACATAAATGGTGGGGGAGGCTGCAGCTACGAACGAACCTGTTGGATACCTGTGCCTCACCATATTGGAAGTGAGTAGTGAATTGTATGTGTTATGTATGTAAGTAGTGTAAGGTTATTTTGTTTATTCCTAAAAATGATATATTTTTAGTTAAAAAAAATACTTAAGAATTGAATCGGGTAACACTTTTAACCTGGCAACACCGAAAAGAAAAGAAGAGGCGGTTTTTGGTTTTTGGGGAGACGCGGGAAAGCGGAGATTTATGGTGGCAATTTTGGGTGAGAAAAGAAAGGTGAATGGACATTGTGAGGATTTTTGGTAAAATACAGAGTGAGAACATATATACAGTGGAAGTTTTATTGAAAACCCCTATAATTCTTACACTTCAGAAGTGGGATTATCCAAGCTTGCATACAGATAATGGAGCGCGGCGAGAGTCGTGAGGGCCGCAGTCTGCGGACCCCAGAACGGAATCGATCTGGGAGCGGCAGCAATATTAGCAGACGGAACTACGGCCATGACGAAAGCCAACATCAACGTCGCAGTATCAGCATACGCCGTCGGGAGCAACACCTGGTGCGTGAGAAGGAGCGTCTACGACAACTGGAGCGAACACTCCAGGATGAACGCGACCTGGAGGCTCGTTCCAGACGCAGCGAACAACACCAGCACCGCGTGGACAGGGATCATCGCAGCCTACGTGCAAACAGCGAGCATCGAAAGGACTAACAAATAAAAATAGGAGAATCGGTAACTGACCAAGACAAGGATAGGTTGCTCCAAATTATTGCTACGCTTTAAGCACTGTTTTGCTTTGGCCGAATTAGGGTGTACCGACGTCACGGAGATGCAAATTGAGTTAAATAGCAATCGACCCGTAGTGTATCGTCCGTACAGGCTCTCGCACCTCGAGCGTGAAAAAGTTCGCGACATGGTAAATAATATGCTAAACGCCGGTGTAATAAGAGAGTCGTATCTAATTATGCTAGTCCTATCATTTTAGTCCGCAAAAAGGATGGAAAGGTACGTATGTGCATTGACTACAGGATGCTTAATTCCATCACCGTGAAGGAGCGTTACCCAATGCCCATCATTGACGATGAGGTAAGTCGATTGGCCAAACAAGCATGGTTTATTACTCTAGATCTAATGTCAGGGTATTATCAGGTACCTATAGCTGAACAGCACAAGCATCTGACGGCATTTGGGACCCCTGATGGCCATTATGAATTTAATCGTGTACCATTCGGGCTAGCCAACGCCCCAGCAGTTTTTCAAAGGATGATGAATCGTATCTTGGGGCCAATGAGATTTAGCGGAGCCACCGTGTATATTGACGATGTGCTTGTGTACCTATGGTAAGGATACAGGTGAAGCACTGACGAGGTTAGAGGAGGTATTGCAGCTATTAGATAATGCAAACCTTAAACTAAACTTGGCGAAGTGTAGTTTTCTGCAGAAACGAATTGAGTACTTAGGGTATGAGATCAGTTCAGCAGGGATGAGACCTGGCGAGGCAAAAATCCGATCAGTATCCGATTTTCCCCGGCCGGAAAACGTTCATACAGTCCGTCAGTTCTTAGGTCTTGTAAGCTATTTCCGTAAGTTTATCTAGAACTTTGCTGAGCTTGCTTCACCGCTTACGAAACTCCTGAAAAAGGACGTAAAGTGGGAATGGCAACGAGATCAAGAGAAGGCTTTTGAGGAGTTGAAGACTAAGTTGGTAAGTCGACCGGTCCTTGCTATCTATATATATTCCGCAGATACTGAACTCCATATGGATGCCAGCAGGATGGGCATCGGTGGAATCCTGCTCCAGCGACCACAAGGTAGCACAGAGCCCTTTAAACCAGTTGCATACTATAGTCGGCAGACAACTCCCGAGGAAAAGAATTTCCATTCATATGAGCTCAAGACGTTAGCTGTCGTTTGTTCATTACGAAAGTTTAGGGTATTTCTGCTAGGGAAAGCGTTCAAGGTCGTTACGGACTGTAGTGCACTACGATCCACGTTTCAGAAACGTGATCTAATCCCTCGAATTGCGCGATGGTGGCTTGCCCTTCAGGAATTTAACTGTGTGATAGAATATAGAGCAGGAACAAAAATGGCCCACGCAGATGCATTATCAAGAAATCCTGTTAGTGATAGGGAAATTGCTGATGAATTTTCCACCGTTTTAGCTATAAGTGACGAAGACTGGTTGTTGACTTTGCAACTAGGTGATTCCGAACTGAGTCGAATTCGTGACATTATCAATACTAACCTAGATTCAAAGGGACTTGAACATATTAAAACACTTATTAAACAAAACAAATTATTCAGAATTCTCGAGGGGGATAAATCCAACATTAGGTGGGTAGTGCCCAAAGGAGCGAGGTGGCAAGTGTGTAAAATGAATCATGATGATATTGGTCACGTTGGCGGGGAGAAGACTTTAGATCGTATCAAAAAATTGTACTGGTTTCCTAAGATGACGCGTTTCATCAAAAGTATGTGAAGTCGTGCATTGATTGCGCATATGCCAAGGTGACTACTAAAAAGGAGGGACTCTTGCATCCTATTGCAAAAATGGAAATACCATTTCATACTTTGCACACCGACCACCTCGGCCCTTTTATTAAGTCTAAGAGGGGAAACACTCATATACTTGTGACCGTTGATTCGTTCACTAAGTTTGTATTCATTAGACCGGTAAGGAACACCAACGCTCAGAATATGATCAAAGTGCTCGAAGATATTTTTGACATTTTTAGAAATCCAGACCGGATTATAAGCGACCGTGGCAGTTGTTTCACATCCCATGCTTTTAGGAGGTTCTGTTTGGATAGGGGCGTCAAACATATTCTTAACTCGGTGGCGAGTCCAAGATCTAATGGACAAGTTGAGCGGTATAACCGCACCATCTTGGACTCTCTGACCGCGCAAAACCTTAGGGACGACGAGAAAAATTGGGATAGCCAGCTCGGTAAAATTCAGTGGGGCCTTAATAACACTGTGCAAAAGACGATAGGTCGAAGTCCCGCGGAGTTTATGTTTGGTACCGCGATAAATAGTGAAAGTAACCCAATACTTAATGAAATAACAAACCTCACTCGTGAATCTTGTGACCTATCGTCTCTTCGTAGAGAAGTTAAGGATAAACTTGATAGGGAACAGGTAAAACAAAAACAATATTACGACAAGGGGCGTAAACTAGCTCAAAATTATAGTGAGGGGGAGTTAGTTAAAATATTAAAATCCGCATTCCAAAATGATGGCAAAAGTACTAAACTTTTGCCATCATATGAGGGTCCGTATAGGGTGGTTAAAGTAATGGGTAATGATCGATATAAAGTGGCACCCATTCCTGGTTTTGAGGGAATGAGGAAAAAGCGAAAAACTACAGTAGCGTCTGATCGTATGCGACCATGGATACATATAACTTCTTTAGAGCTAGATAGTGACGGTGAGGATGCCATAGAGATTGGTAGTAACTCATCCGAAGTGAGTGACTAAACATTATATAAGAGTATTTATGTAATTATTTATTTGTTTAATTTATTTAGGTCAGTCATGAGACTACGTGAGCGAGCGGGTTCATGACTTGACTTTGTTGTTTACGGAATGCTTGTGGAATTGTGGAGCGCGAGACTACGTGAGCGAGCGGGTTCGCGACTCTATTCATTTCATATTATGTGGGTGCGAGACTTCGTGAGCGAGCGAGTTCGTAACCTTGATTTATTTACCCTATGGGCTGACTTGATGTATGGTGCGAGACTTCGTGAGCGAGCGGGTTCGTAACCGTCGTCTGGTTCAGTTATCCTATGGGTTTATTTGATTAATGTAGTTACTTATACTACCAGACGAACTACTGTGCATTTTGAGTTACTTAAATTAATTATTTATTTGTTTGTTTAAATGGTTGAACATACATTTCTAATTATTGTTTTTCTCCATGACTTGTTCTGTTAAAATTGTTATTAAGATCACACCCGCGAAAAGAATGAACCCACAGAGGTTTCTTGCTTGTTCTTTTACTCGAGTTGGGCCGGCTAGGGTTGGAACAAGTGTAAACTTAGTTTTAAGATTAGAATGTGATCTTTTGCTGCCATAAGTCGATGTGCCGAGTGTAAGGTTCTCAACTGAGGCGTGTATGGGGTCATACACGTCATCAGGATGGTCGAGTGTAAGGTTATTTTGTTTATTCCTAAAAATGATATATTTTTAGTTAAAAAAAATACTTAAGAATTGAATCGGGTAACACTTTTAACCTGGCAACACCGAAAAGAAAAGAAGAGGCGGTTTTTGGTTTTTGGGGAGACGCGGGAAAGCGGAGATTTATGGTGGCAATTTTGGGTGAGAAAAGAAAGGTGAATGGACATTGTGAGGATTTTTGGTAAAATACAGAGTGAGAACATATATACAGTGGAAGTTTTATTGAAAACCCCTATAATTCTTACAATAGTGTGTGTAATCTATGTACATTTTTGTGTGTTTAACAGAAAATTCTGGAAATGTAACAATAGTTGCGAATATATCTATGGACAAATGATAGTATCTTCAGAGGTACAATGTCCTAAACTCATTTCAATCTGAGGTGTTCTTCAAGGATATTATACAAGATTATTTGTATTATAACTTTCGTGAGACATGCTGCATTCGTGTGACAGGTTTGTTTGTTTGTTCCGCTTTCACGCCGTAACTACTAAACGATTGCTTTGAATTTTTGCAGACGTAAAGCTAGAAGTCCGGATTAAAATAATAATAGGGTACTTTTTATCCCGGAAAATTTTGATATTCCCAAGGGAAAACAAAACTATTAGTATAGATGGCGCTGTGTGTATTGGTCTATGTCACAGGCTACTTTTTATCTTTTTGTGACGCGAGCGAAGCCGCGGGTAAAAGCTAGTACTAAATAAATTATTATGTTAGTAGCAGCAGTATAGTAATAGTAGCAGCGCGACAGTCGCCGCGTCGCGGGTCGAAAAATGCTGCTCATGAATATGAGCCTCAAGCATGGCTTGAAACTAGTCATTATTAGGTACTTGAGTAAGCCGAAAACTTAATAATTGTACGAGATTTTTAAATTTTGTGTGTGCGTGCGCGTGATAGTGTATGTATGTGTGTGTATGTATGTATATATACGTATACTGGGTTATATGATAAAAAAAAATTAGGTCAAGCGCGTATCTTTTTTCTTTTTTCAGTTTTAGCGTTACCGCGGGCATTGTTTTGAAATTAACACTAAAAATTAAATATTTCAATAACCGTTCATTTCCACCTATCCCTTTGTTCGACAAAAATGTTGGAATTGATCTGTTCTATAACCTCTTACGAGATTGTGGTCGAATTACAAATCACCCTGTATATGTATATAAGTTTGTATGGATGTGTCTGAAGTGGAATCCTGCAACTGAATTTTGAAGCAGAAATCTTCATGCGATTGGGATGTTGTATATACGTTTAGTTAGACTGAGCATAAATGGTAAGCTGTATAAAACTCGTTTACTTTTTTTTAAATATTGACTTGTCATTCACATCACCACATAGTATAAAACAAAGTCGCTATGCCGTCTGTCTGTCCCTATGTATGCTTAAATCTTTAAAACTACGCTACGGATTTTGATGCGGTTTTTTTCAATAGATAGAGTGATTCTTAAGGAAGGTTCATATGTATAATTCATGCATATTGCACCCGTGCGAAGCACGCACGGGTCGCTAGTATATTATAAATAAAATGCTGCTTACCGATGGTATGGATTCATTTTCGTTTAATTCAATGGCCAGTCCTGAACACGCCTCGGCTATTTTTCTATACACATCTTTGCTTTTAATTGAATGTTTGTCAGTCAATGTAATTTTCTTGTTAATGGTCACAAACGAAATCTGTAATTGAGTAAATTAAATAAATTTAAAGAAGAGGCTGAGAGCGCTGAGCCTCTAGACAGACGGCTGTGCCTCCACAGTTTGCTGGAAGTCGACGTCAAATGGCACCAGATGGTCGGCAAGATTCCAACAGTTATCAGAAAATAATAAAAATATAGTAGTTAATAAGTCAAGTCATATAGTTTTTAAATTATAATGACTTATGTGTTATCCACGAAAAAGTACAGCCTGTGCCAGACTTTTGACCCTTACTTTGATAAATCTTTATTGTCTCGTCTGTATTTTTGCTTACGTTATCCTGAATAGGTCTTCAGTATTATGAAATCATAAATTCTGAGCCGGCTGCTTTAGTTTGGAACCTACTTGGTTCGCAATAAATTTTAATTTACTTTAAGTGGCTGTACTGAAAAAAAAAAATTGTACTGCCCTCGTAGTGGCCAATTTCATCAAAATAGGCGATATAAGGATTCTAAAATGTTATACCACTTTCCATATTATTTCTATTTTTTATAAAATACGTGCCCCACACTAGGATTTTCTCCTGCGTCGTGGGTGCGTTTACAAACATACATCGTATCGTTTCGTAAACCTAAATTACTACATATTTTACGGAAGGATCGAATTGTTTGAGAAACACTAAATGAAGTGCATTAAGTTACATTGAAATTACGTTGAAACTTAAATCATATTTTTTAAATAAAGTTGTCTCCTTGTTTCATTTTCGTTTCCTTGATTCATTTTTATACCAGACTTATCACTCGCCGTCGTATTATTAGATATGCATTTCAATTTTGTGAAAAAATGGAAATACTATCTAAAATCTCTGTAGCCTTACTTTATATCATCTGTATAGGCACGATGATGCTTCTTACATGTGTTCCATTTTTTTAAAAGTTAAAAAATATCCAAAAGATAAAACTTTGTTTCCCCAATACAATTTGATACAACTTTAACGGTCTGTACCTGAGATTGCTTTTTCTGACACAGTTCTTGGACATTGTCAAGCTTCTTGTAGTCCTTGGGTGGAGCATTGGTGAACAAATATACATGGGAACCACGATTACTTTTATGCAATGCTGTAATCAATGCTTTCATTGATGATTCTTGACAGTCATGATCAGGATTATTATTCAGCGTGTACACATCTTCCAATGCTTTTCGCATTTCATTCAAAGTTGTAGCCACCATTTTTACAAGTGCATCTGAAATTAATCAAAGTGGGTGTTCAACCAACGAAGTTCTAGAAAATTATAATATAAAATGGACTTTGGGCCAATTTTTCAATTATCAATTCATTCTTAACTGTAGTATAAAATTGACAGTTGATACTTTTTAGTATGGCCATGGGAGAATTGTCAAATATTCCCCAGTTAAAATTATATCTGAGCATTAAGAAATTGGCCCTATGTTAAGTTGTTTATTCTATAGCCAACAATTACATGTTACGAAAAATAAAACATTGCAACATAAATAAAAATGCCGTCAAATGCCAAGTTCGCCACAGAATTTTGTTTAAAAATACTACCTCATTGCCTTTAGCCAAACGGTACTTTAGCGCTTGTCTAACAAGAGAGTAGAAAACCAAAATATATGGAATTGACGTAAATTTTGACGCTTGTGAGTGTCATTCCCATACATTTAGTTTGGGTATTAGTATTTGGCTACAGCTGCTGGCTAGTTTCAATAATCTATTTATCAGTACATTTGTTTATAATTTTGACATATTTTGTAGGCGTGCTTACTCTTGACTCCAATCTCAATGTCAATGCAATTTCAATCTAATAAAATCTCAATAATTATTCAATATCGAAACTATACGTCACAACCCCTATCGTAGCCGTTGAAATAGCATTCAAAGGATGGAATATAATGCCAAACTCAATACCATTTCGTTCATTAAATATCCACGCAATACGGATGCAATGGGCGCTAGTATTGCAACTCAAGAGTACAAAATTTCACAATACCAATGTCGATCACCTTAAAAGAACAACACACTTTTAAATTGTTCAATAAAAAAAAAAACGTTTATATGGTTACAATTCAAGAAATCCTCTTCGCCAATCTCCCCAATTCCTGAATCCCCAACGATCCTCAAACTCCTAATCCCCAAAAGGCCGGTAACGCACTTGTAACGCCTCTGGTGTTCCAGGTGTTCCTGGGCGATGCCGATTGCTTACCATTAGGTGTTCCGTCTGGTCGTTTACCGGCTTATGCCATAAAAAAAAGAATATATTTGGTTTTGAAATACCTGAGCGGTTGAATGTGACGAGCACCATGTTGCTGACTACACTGGATTTTTCATTGAATACCTTGTTCAAGTTGTCTTTAATTATATTTATTTCAGCCTTCATCGATTCATTATCACATATGATAAAGGTTAAACTCCCTTTCTCCGTGCACGATGCCTTCATAACAATATCAGCGACTATTAGCAATGTCGCCACCGGATAAATCCGCCTCAACATTTTCTTGAATAATTGAATATCAAAATAATAATTTATGATGTTTGTAAATTGATGAACGATGTACCTACACTGCGCGAAACCACATTATCACACTGTTATATATAGAATCGTAAATATAGTTATGGTACCATATTATATATTTAGAAGTATTTTCCTTTTATTGCCTGCTTGCATTTTTTACATCACCGATACAATTGTAAATCGAACTAAAATAATTAAAAACTTTTTGTCATGCAGTTTAACTGAACAATGACGATAGAGTATAAAGGCTGCCATGATATTTCTGTGACGTCATCAAAATGTATATTTTATGATAACATACCAAATATATAAATATGTATATAATATAAATTATAAACTAATAATATTATAAATATAATATCTTTATATATATAATTCTTCTGTGAGTGTATGTCACTGAACTTCTCTCAAACGACTAGACCGATTTTGATGAAATTTTTGTGTGTTTTCAAGGGGATCTGGGAATGGTTTAGATTCACAAATCAGCCCGGCAGATGGAGCTGTTATTTATCGTAAACAGCTAAACTAATTTAAATGAATTTTTGTTTATACGTTCAAGTGGATATGCAGGACAACGTCTGTTGGAACTGCTAGTAATAAATATAAATAAATAAAATATAACTAATAATATAAAATTAGGATACAGGGTGTTATTATAGTCATGGTACTATAGCTCCAGTCTGTGATAGCTACCTATACTATAAAATATATTAATATGTATTATAGCTAGCTGACAAACGGTGATGGAAAACATCGCTTAAAACCTGGGCTTACTTATAATTTCTTATATTATAACTTATACTACCAAATTTAGTAATACTATACATTAAATTATATTTGAAACATGGTGGTATTTTATTTGCAAACAATAAACTTAAATTACTTAATTATAAATAAATATATACAACTTAAAATACAAATACCTAACTAAAATATTTATTTTTTATTTATTTATTCACCTTAAAATATATACTTATACTTTCTAATTATAAGTTTGTAATTTCTAACTGAGCAAGCGTGGTGATTAATGCTCAAACCTTCTCCATGTGAGAAGAGACTTTGCTTTGTAATAGGTATTTATAGGCTGTTGATGATGATGATAGCTAGGTGTATGACAGCGGGCCTGCGGACGACGAGCACGGGTAACTCGCCGACCAGAACCACGCCCGAGGGTGCAGCGCGTCGCGTTCCGCGCGCGCCTTAAGGAGCCATCAGACCACCACAGATGGGGCCCAATAAGGCTGATGCCGACACGGAGCCGCGGAGGGTTTAACGGGTTGATTCCAAGTGCAGAAGTAGGAACCGAGTGGTTTTTAGTTAGTAAGAGTCTGACATTCGCCTCACCCGGGCGGGAGAAGTAATTCAATGATTTTAACTCGTCGAGTACCGTATTCACAGACACAATTAAAGAACAATAGGTTGCGGTCACCGGTGACCGCTCGGTGTTTGACAGTTTAACCCCTTAAAGAAATGGTCTGTGACGGCCACTAGTCACCATATTCGCTCTTTGCATAGGTATAGACCAGACTTATACTTCGACAGATACCGGGCAGTGCAGTGTCCTCTAATAGACCTGAGCCTTTTAATTAGGATCTTAAACCCACCTGCTAATTGGAAATTATAGCTTGCATAAAACGTGTGTAATTTCTTGTATGTATTATGTTCTATAGTTAAACACATATCATCAAGCATCTTTATCCCTGTAGGAGTAGGCAGAGGTGCCCACTTTTCACTATTTATGTTATGAGTCCCATGTAATAAGGAGTGAGCCTATTGTTATATACCGGGCACACTTTTAGACTTCGTGCTACTACTGAGATCATATTTTTTATACCTTGTAATACAAATCAAAATACATAATTATATAGTCCGTAACTTATTTTCGTTAGTTCTTTCCTCTTAGTTTAAAAACGTACTAATGAATAATTTTATTGGTTTCCGTATCAATTATTAAATTAATTATTACGTTTTTGGCTTACTCACGTAACTGTTTGACAAATGACTCGACTAGTTTCAAGCCATGCTAGAGGTATGAGTAAGCCGAAGACATAATAATTAATTTTGTACGTCTCACGAAAGTTTTAATATAAACATAACATAACATAACATCACGCCTTTTATCCCTGAAGGGGTAGACAGATGTGCACATCACGGCACGTAATGCCGCTATATAACTTTTCACTATTTATGTTATGAGTCCCATGTAATAGGGTCTTTGTTACATTATACTGTCGTACGTCTGAATAGTGAAAGGCTACGTTAAAGGTAAGTTGTGTAGACGCACATATGATTAATCGATACCCCTAATTTTAGTTAAATTTGGTAATTGACTGCATGGTTGGTGCGGTGGCTGGGCAACCGGCTGCCAAAAAATGTAATAGGAAAATACCTACAAATATTTTCATACAGATATTCAGAATGTACTAGTGGGCATTTAGTTAGTGCCACATAGTGACTAAATTTAGAATTCTATAAATAAGAGCGTGATTATGTTGACTCGCACAGTAAGTTTTCATCGTTCATCCAGTTAAAAGCATTATTCAATTATTTAGTTTTATATTTAATTATTTGAAAATGTTGGGGCGGATTTATCCGCTAGTAGTGTTACTGGTAATCGCTGATATTGTTATGAAGGTATCATGCGCGGAGAAAGGGAGTTTAACCTTTGTAATAGATGATAGTCTCTCGATGCAAGATGACATAAGCCTAATCAAAAAGAGCGTAAACCCGGCCATGATGAGTATTGTTTTCAACGACACATCCAGTGTGAACAATATAGTTCTCGTCACATTCAACAACTCAGGTAAGTATTTCGATTCTATTTATATATTACACATAATTATTCTACAATAACTATCTTGAGACATACTAAATTAACTAAAAATCGCGGGTTACTCATGTGAATATACTGAGAAAAGCTCTACTAGTTTCGAACTACAGAGGCGTTCTTCCTCAGCCTACTGTAGCGCAGTAGGCTGCGCGATATCGTAAGTAATCTGCGATTTTTAGTTAATTATTCTACATTTTTTCATGGAATTGGATAAAAACAATCAGACGGATCACCTGATGGTAAGCGATAGATACCTATATTACAAATATACATTATCATCCTTCAAGAAAAACGTAATTATAGACTTAATATATTTATGTTTCTGTTTCCATCTCAATATGGATGAAGTGTGTCCCGTGGGTCCCGTGTGTGCAATTGGACTTCACGGCCTTAAAGTTTTAATTCCAAACGAATCGAAAGCATAAAATTGCCAATCTGGTTACTATACTTTGTCCATTTGTCCTCGTTAACATCAGCGGCAACGACACGCTGAGCTTGCAAGATAGGATGGCTCAAGAGTATCCCCGCAAGTGGCATCGCATAACAAAGGCCTAGCCGTCCTCTAATAATGACATACCGTCAGGTCTCTTGCCATCGTCGCATACCAAGCCATTCATGGCTCTAAAGTAGCTGCCACGTCGGTGGAGACAAGAGCTTGAGGAATAATATCATTTAACCTTGCGTCTCAATCAAAACTACTCACACAACTGCTACACGACATGCCGTGGTATCCAAAGCTGTTGACAACGTCTTTATCACAACGACAACGACGAGGACAACAAAAAGAAGTTCCACTTCGCAGACAAATTACAGAACGGAAGTTTACTAATCAAAGAAAGCTGACGATATTGACAATATTCTTTATTAATTTTAGATGCACATGTAAAGGTGGTGGCCAAGAATCATAACGAACTTGACAAGGCATTAAAAGACGTTAAGGCACTCAGTAAAAATGACCCGAAGCATCAAGTACTATCCATGGAAGGATTGATTCTAGCTTTGGAAAAGAGTAATCGTGGATCCCAAGTGTATGTTTTCACTGATGCTTATGCCAAAGATCATCAGAAAGCTCACATTGTCAAAAAACTGTGCCAGAAAAAACAATCTCAGGTACAGAATGCATTTGTAATTAATTTTAGCGTAATTAATAATAATACGTGTGTGGTGTGAGATGTCAGACGTAAGACGTTAACACTGTAACATAACATAACATCACGCCCTTAATCCCCGAAGGGTTAGGCAGAGGTGCACATTACGGCACTAAATGCCATTATACAATACTACATTATATTTTGGCCTAGTGTTTGCAAGTGCGACTGCCGGGCAAGAGGTCTCAGGTTCGATTCCCGGGTCGTGCAAAGTATTGCTGGGGTTTTTAATTTTGATCATTTATCAAGGACGTTGAAAAAGAGGCGGACAAAATGTCACTTAGAAATGATTGAAGTACCAAAATGTCAGTGGTTTATTTATGTGTGCGTGAGTAATGTGTTACCACGTCACCTCTTAAGAAAATGATAGATGTCCTTTGTGTCAATGTGTTTAAGTTCTGCGTGTAACTCTATACTAGCCAGGTGCCACAGCCGTTGTTTCAAGAGACTATGTTTCCCTCTTTTCAACGTCCTCGATACACACACATAAATGTTCTAAAGACGATACCGATGTCGATTACTATGTAATAAACTTATTCATTACAGATTTATTTTGTGATTACCGTCATTAATACGAAGCAGTATCTAGATGAAAATATGCTCATGTATCACGAAACAGCTCAGGCGTGTTTAGGCCTAGCCTATGAAGTAAACAAAGATGATGTTTTACAGGTAACTATCGTGTCCAGTGACAAGTAAATATGTATGTCGGAATTTAAAACTAATAAAACGAACAACGAAGTTTTAATTGCAAAAAATAACCTACACAATGCCAATGTAATATTATACATAGGTATACATACCTTGTACCGGCCACTTGCAGCTTTAATAAAAGAACTATATATGACGTAGTAATTATCATAGTATAAAGAATATGTAATTATTGTTTTTTTTTAAATGGCAGGCAGGCCAGCATATAATAATTATGTTGACGAGTAATGTGAGGAAGCGCCGCCCACAGATTCTCGCAACAAAAGAGTTACTAGTAGTGCGTCGCCGACTTTTTGGGGGATTGAGAATTTGGATATTAGAATTCGGTAACCCGGTATTAAAACACTCGCACGTCCAATGGTGCTCGTTTAAATATGTTTTGTACGAGTTATTTTACATTTAAAGAAATCGAAACGAGACTGCGTTTCGCGCTCTGATTGGCTGGTCATTCGAGCCGGCCAATCATAACGCCGTTCGCGGTCGGTGCTAAGGCATGTAGCAATAAATACAGTCCTAATAACGCAAGATTCGTCTTTACATCCAGCTATATAAAACCAGTATAAATTGATTTGTGAAACTTCAGAAAGGTCATTCATCACGAGATCATGATAAAATGGATTTTATTACCTTGATGTTTAGTAGATATATATTTTTGTCTGTTTATTTTGTATTCTGTTGTTTGTTCTAGGTATTCAGACTAATAACCAATACTGTAATTGACAACATGATTGTAGTTTATCAAGCCACTTTTCCAAACACTAATTATAAACGTAATTATATTAAGGTAAGTTTCCTAATATTATTTAATAAGTATTACACACATCTATACATCTTTTTAACTATACAATTTTACTATGAACTAGCTGTTGCCCGCGAGTTTTTTTTTTTTAAGAAAACGTTGCCCCGCACTAGGATTTTCTCCTGTGTCGTGGGTGCGTTTACAAACATACAATATCACATACACATGACACCCAGACCCGGAACAACAATCTGTGGATCACACAAAGAGTTGTTCCGTGCGGGAATCGAACCCGCGACACGTTGCGCGGCGGCCAGTTGCCCAGCCACCGCGCCAACCGTGCAGTCAGTTTGTTTTACATTAACGCGATCGGCACGTTTATGACGTTCGGTGCCTGATTGGCCAGAAGGCTCTATTCTAAATTGAACAAACCAATTAGAATACTCAACGCGGTAACGTTTTGATCCCATTAATGTGAAAATACTTATTTAGCACTCTGTTCATCATACACTCATTGTTCGTGAGTTTAACAGAGCTTTTTTAGGATATACTTTGATTTTTTGGATACATTCAAGTACTCCGATCTGTTCCTACTGATTTCACCACAAAATCTTCTAAAATAAAAATGTATTTATTATTTCAGTTCCATGTAGATCAGCTAACTAAATACTACGTCGTCTCAATAGCTGGAAAACACGTGAATCTAACTTTTAGCCCAACTCCCCGGCACCCGCGTTACGTGCAAAATTCTTTAACAAAACATAACATCGGTGAAGAGATTGTTAACACGGATAATTTAAAAGTAAGTAGCGGAAAGAAAATTACTTCATAGAAAATCAATAGGTACCTATTAACATAACATCACGCCTTTTTATCCTCGAAGGGGTAGGCAGAGGTGCACATTACGGCACTTAATGCCACTGTACAATGTAACACCCACTTTTCACTATTTATGTTATGAGTCCCATGTAATAGGGGGTGAGCCTATTGCCATATACCGGGCACAATTCCAGACTCCGTGCTACTACTGAGATTTTTAAAAACCCAGTAATACTTTGCCCGACCCGGGAATTGAACCCGAGACCCCTTGCCCGGCAGTCGCACTTGCGACCACTCGGCCAACGAGGCAGTCTATTATAAAACACATTATAATAAAACTGTAGAGAGGTCAATTCTATTCATGAAATATATTTCCAAAATAAGTATCGGGGGTGAATCTGTTTGTATGTTCAAACTATCGGTCCGATTACAATGAAATTTAGTATGATTAATATATAATAACATAACATCACGCCTTTTATCCCCGAAGGAGTAGGCAGAGGTGTACATTATGCCACTGTACAATGTTACACCCACTTTTCACTATATTATATTTATCTTGATTCGATATTATTTTAGCTTGAATCGATATTATAAATGTAAAATATGTGAGTATGTTTATTACTCAGTCACATCACGGCTGAAGGGCTCGGGATGATATTTGGAATAGAGGTAGGTAATGATTGCCTCGTTGGCCGAGTGGTTTCAGGTTCGATTCCCAGGTCGGGCAAAGTTTTACTAGGATTTTATGTTAAATCTCAGTAGTAACAAGAAGTCTGGAAATATGCCCGATATGGCAATAGGCTCACCCCCTATTACATTGGACTCATAACATAAATAGTGAAAGTGGGTGTTACATTGTACAGTGGCATTAGGTGCCGCAGTGTGCACCTCTGCCTAATCCTCCGGAGATAAAAGGTGTGATCTTATGTTATGTATTTAATTAGACTAGAAAATACTTCAGTAATTAATTTGTTTTTAGGTATTCAAGATTATAAACGTAAAACCTGGCGAATACATCTTTGAAGTGAACAGTAAATCAGAGACATCCGTCGTCATAGTGGGCAGGTCTGATTTCCACTTCGAACATGGTTTCTCGGAGCTGAAGCCCGAGTCACTTAATGACACGGTTTTTCAACCAATAGCCGGTGAGTAATTTGTTTAATGTTCCTTACATTTGCTGGCGGAACCCCGCGGTCGGACCAACCTGTTAAGGCCAGCGCCGCTGACGCGTGCACTTCGCTCACTCAACCTAATTTCTAATGAAATTGACCTATTTTGTTGTACTCTGGGTGAATTCATAAGGAATGCATTATATGTAATATGCTATTATATAGGTAGATATTAAGATGAGCACATTTATCGCTTTGGGCATTAACCTGTTAAAATAAATGTAAGTGGAATAAATAAATAAATCATGGTCAACATTCATATGATTAGGCTAAGCTGCTTGGCGGGCGACTTATTAGGGGAGTCAGTTGACCACTGTATGGGCGGGAGTAGGCGTTAGCGGTGTATTTACGCGCGCCACTCGAGAAAGGAGATTCAGCTTTTGAGGGCTACTACGTGGTGGGACCTGCCGCAATATAGTGGTAGGTCGAGGCCTGCCAGGTGCGCTAAATCCGCAAGGGCGTCCCGGGTCACAGGCAGAGGAGAAACACCGCGGTGGTTTTAGCCGGTAAGAGTCCGACACAACACCCCGTCATACCCACGGCGTGGAAAGTCCAAAAAGATTTCCATCGCGTTATGAAAAAGAAGGCTTTTTTTTTAAGGGGGGAAAATCATCGAATGACTGCTCCCGCCCGGGTGAGGCGGAAGGGAGTGTCAGACTCTTACTGACTAAAAACCACCCCGTTCTTTCTCCTGCACGTCGAGCCGGAGCCCCGGTTACCCGTTAGGTTCTCCGCGACTCCGAATCGGCATCGGCCCTATTGGGCCCACTCTGTGGTGGTCTGATGGCTCTTTGAGGCGCGCGCGGAACGCGATGCGCCGTACGCTCGGGTCTGTTTCTGGTCGGACGGGGAGCCACCCATGCTCGCCGTCAGCGAAGACAGAAGAATTAGAAGAGAGATGCTGATAACATGCCTATGCTAAATGGCCCACTCAGTAAAAGCCAGGCATACAAGTCACCCCGGGGGCACCCCTGCAATGAGGCACTACGGCGGAACTATTTCGTGATACCACGGATTCACGACAAATCAGCTTGGAAGGTTTGAACCGATGCAAAGTGACTGCAACTGCAAACAGTCCTAATCGTACCATATCACAGATATATAAAAACAAGAGAAGTGACACAATACCATACAAAATCCATAGCAAATTGTCGTCGTTTTTGACAGTTCGAAAAAGTATTGAATTTGACTAGTCGGCAAGTACCCAATTGTAACCAATGCATTATTTTGTTATTTTAGATGCAAAAATCCACTTGTCAGTATTCGTTTACGATGGAAGTAAATCGGTGGTAATAACAAAAGCCCTTATAATTGGAATGAACGACGAGCCTATCACGCCAGAACTTCCATTAACAAACATTTCTAAAGATTTTTACGTTACTCGACCCTTTACTACGCCAAGACAAACGTTTAAAGTAGTGGTAAGTATTCATTACATCTAAATAGGTTATATACCTATTGTTTATTCGAGTGTCATCGTAAAAAAAATCTTTAATCTTATACTATTTCTTTTGTATAAAGCTGAAGAGCTTGTTTGCTTGCTTGTTTATTTGTTTGTTTGTTTGTTTGAACAAGCTAATCTCAGGAACTACTGGTCCGATTTGAAAAAATCTTTTTGTATCGGTTAGCCTATTTATCGAGGAAGGCTATATGCTATAAAACATCACGCTGCAATCAAAAGGAACCGAGCAGAGCGTGTGAAATCGCTAGTTATTAATAATTTTAGTGTATATAAATACATTCTGATTAGGTATACAATAAGTAAATACGAGTAGACTGCCGAAGTAAGTAAATCTGTTAAGGGCGATATTGCATCTAAGAGAAGCCCTTAAATAAACGAAAAAAGTAGATGCCATCAGAAAATGTTTTGGAAATATAATAACAATACAAAAATTTGTATAATTTAGGTCTATGGGAAAGTGAATGCAACGGATATCACGCGTTTCGCAAAACTTCCTATTACGCCAATAAGTAAGTTTATTTTATTTTATTTATAGGTACCTACGTATAAAATGCTTTGCTCTGAATGACTAACCAACAGAACAATGCATAACTGATGACCTGAAACTTAGTGGATGTTCTCTGTATAACGTAGGAATCATTTGAGAATTATTTTTTCTACATTCCAGTCCCTGATAGGTAAAAAATGGGGGTGAAGTTTGTATTAGAAAAAGTGATGCAATTAATTACCTTAATTTTTTGAATAAATATTGCGAAGCAAGTAATATAAGTAAGTAAATATTGCTTGTATTCATGTCCCTGGGACGCGCCGGACTTCAGTGTTCCGGTGTTTTCATGGTTGTATTTACTGTAGATCCTGACTTACAGGAGTTGCAGCGGTTTTGGGAGACTGTGGCGGGCTCGTCCCAAAAAAAAAATTGTTGTATTCTTTTGACGTGTTTTTGTTTTTCAATACTTTGAGTGACGTGTCGTAGTGGCTACAGAGGTTTAAGACGCTTATGCATGGGAGTGCGGTTTCTAAACTTGGCAAGTACCAATATGACTTATCCGAGTTATAATTATGTGTTTTATAAAATTAATTAGACAACATAGATAAAGGAAAAACGTGTGGGAATCTGGGCCTTTCATTTCTGAACAAGCGTGGTGAGAACGAAGACGAGGTGAGGTGAGTCTCCGTATGAAATGAGGTTTTGCTCAGCAGTGGGCACTTATAGGCTATTAATGTTGATGTTAATGATGGAAGACGCTGTTACATATCTTTACGTCCTGCGTCTACGATCTAAAAGCGAAAGCAATTATGAAGCGGTTATTCAAGAATTCAATGCAATGCGGAGCGACGTGGTTATGTTCTACGTGCACACGAATCGTTTCATTTCGTTTTTGCTTCCGTCATTATAAAGGAACAAAAAACAAGACAGCACTGTAACCACAGTTCGCGCGAAAGTATCAAACTAACTGATCGCGTCCGCTTCATTTCCCGCCGCTCCACACTAGAGGTACATCTCACGGGCATATTGTCACGTAGGAAACTTCAATAGGTTTCGACAGTTTGTTGTTTTCACGCCGCGCCGCACCACTCCGCATTCGCTTCTAGATCACGCTCATGCAGGACATAGCGCTAAAGTAAAGATCTGAATATTCATATTTTGACTGACTTACATCTAATAATATTCTAAGTTTTAGTGTTGTTTAATGCTTCAAAATAATTCCAGAATTACCAGACAACCAAGTACTTAATGTAGTGATTGCTGAAGGCAAAGAAACTTCTGTGGAATACAATAGTTCCTTGAAATTAACTTGCAAAGTGACCGCATTCCCCAAGCCTAAAATATCTTGGTACAACAATAAGGGACAACTAATACCTTCTAAAGTAAGTGATCACTAAATGTTCAACTATTCGGTGATAAGTAGGTTTAAATGCGGGAAAGCCATATGCTTCGGCATGAATGGGTCGGCTCGCAAAAAGTGATAGCACAGCTTCACAAAAAACCGTATAAGGATGCTTGCGTTGTATTTCGCTGTGCGAATGAAGTTGCCTGAGGAGACCTGTGACTCCTCTTGAAATGGAATCTCTCTCATTATTTTAATGGAGTATCACTGGAAAGATATTCACTAGAAGATTGCCGAGGTTGCAAAATTAGCAATCATTGTTACACACAATTTTACAAATATTGCAATATTAATAGCAAACTGATTAATAACTACATTAATAAACTTTCAGAGTTATATGTCTGAATACCCGTATGACTACGTAAGTCACCTGGAGATGCCAGTCGCGAAAGAAAATAAATATATGTGTAGTGTAGTAAATGATATAGGACTGAAAAATGCATCGATCAACGTCAAAATCAATGACATTTTTACTGTAGTTGACACTCCTAAACGTAAGTTACTATCATATAATACGAGTATGTTATTTTAAGCGCAAGATAACAATTTTGAGTATATCTTTTCTCATTCTCTTCCTTCGTGAAATGCATTGATAAATGGGATGTATTATTCAGTAAACAATGTCCACACATGTCGTTGTGGCTCGGAGGCTTAAGAAGCCCGCTTTTCATGCATGAGAGTGCGGGTTTGAAACCTACCAATGGCAGGAACAGGAACAGAAACAGGAACAATGTGACTTTTTCTGAGTTATATGTACTTTCTAAGATTGTTTAGACACCACTGACAAATGGTAAAGGAAAACATCGTGTGGAAACCTAGGCTTATAATTTCTAATTATAAGTGTGAAATCGTCAACCCGCATTGAGTAAGCGTGGTGATCAATGGTCAAACCTTCTCCATGCGAGAAGAAGCCTTTGGTCAGCGGTGGCCACTTACAGGCTGTTGATGATAATGATGATGATGATGGATGTCCACACGATTTGTTCTTTGAATATATGTCACTTTTATGGTTAAAGACGACTGTTGGGGCCTGAAAATAATCAATTAAGCTCATTGATCATTTATTGAGTAACCCGTATTAAATAGAACCAAATATAACTTCTAAGGTACGTTATTGGAGTACGGTAAGCCAGGTGCCCTAAAATGTGACGTCAAATCAACACTTCCCATGAATATCCGCTGGTACCATGTAGATGAAATGTCTGGAACCAAAACAGAAGTGGTTGATTCTATCAACTACTCAATGTCAGCGGACAGGACTGAACTAAAAATAATCAAAATGGATTTGTATTTATCTGGAATGTACGTCTGCCAGGCATATCTGGTGAACGATAAAAATATCAAAAAGGAATTCAGAAAACTAGTTGAAATTACTGGTTTAGGTAAGTATCAAAATCACACTATATAATATATTAATATTATAAATGTGAATCACGCTGAATCTACTGAACGGATTGTAATGAAATTTGGTATACAGTCAAAGTATGAGCTGACTTAGGCGACAAAATTTTTATCTCGATTAAATGCTTCCATGGGATAAAACAGGAATCATGTTCTTCGCGGACGAAGTTGCAGGCGACAGCTAAATACTCCATAATTTCTGACTCGTGGATTGAAACTGACTAAATAATGTCTTGACATTAATAACTAAATAATCAATTGGTTCACGACTACTAAAATACCTGACAGCTATGATAATATTGTTTTCAGTGGAGCCTAAAATACAAACACAGGCTAAAATAACAGGGATCAAGGGTGCAGCTATCGTCTTAGAATGCAAGTAAGTAGCAATACAATTAAAAGAATCTGAACCTTATGCTTGATGTAATGCCAGAATATGTAAGAAATATGGAATTTGGTGTGTCAAAATTGTACTCATTTAGATAAACAATTATCTCGCTTAATTAGTTGCATAGTAAAAATCGTGAGTAATTTTTTTAATGCAAAGCGAAAGCTATCCAGTTTTGCATAATGAGTAAAATAATAATTATGTTTATGTAAAAACCGTTTGATTTTATTTATTTTTATCGCTCGTTGGGGTTATTCTAACCCCACCAAGAGCACGGGTAGATCCAACCGTAAAGCGCGTCTCATTCCGCGCGCGGCTCAAAGTATCATCAGACCACACCACCGATACGCAGCCGCGAAAGAACTAACAGGTTGCCGGTGCTCCGGCTCGAAAAGCAGAAGTAGGAACGGGGTGGTTTTTAGTCAGTAAGAGTCTGACACTCCCTCTCGCCTCACCTAGAGTGGGAGAAATCATTGGGAATGATTTTCCCCCTTCAATAATAAAGCACTATTGAAGATTGGGAGATTTACGATGATCCTTGGATGCCACATGCTACCTTTCTCATTATTTTTATTTGAAAGCTGTGAAAGCTAGAAATTATACCAACAAGTGTCTAAACCAGCAATCAAAATCAAAGAATAAGAACAAACAACAGTTATTTGTTTCAATATTTAACATCGCGCCTGTAAATATTGGGGACACAAACCGATGATTAATGTGTAGCACCGAAATAGAATTGGATCCCAGGACGACCAAATTGACCGTAGTAAGTTTATTAGCAAGACGTAAAGTAGAGTAAGAATGCCATTAACCACTAAAAATATTTTAACTTTACATTACAAAATAGTTTTTCATTAATCTTATAGCGTAAGTGGTATACCAACGCCAACCATTCAATGGCAGTTTAGAGGCAAATCTGGTTCCAAGTTTGAACCACTGGCTGAGACTAGACGCGTGCTACGTATTAATAGTGTAGAAGCCAAACACGAGGGTCAGTACAAGTGTGTGGCAGAAAACGTATTAGCTAAGGATGAGAAGGTTACAACATTAATTGTTCAAGGTAATCCTGACTTTTCTTGGTAAATATTATATTTTAAAACACTTTCTTACTATATCTGATCGTAATTCAAAAATAGTATTAGATAAATTCAATTCACAAAATATATACTAGTGTAAAGGTATGCCTTAGTTCAGTTGCTATTGAGAAGTTCCACATTTATAAAGATCTAGTTAAATGTTAAAAAATAATCGAACGAAACGGCATGTTACTTTATTTTATATTGGTCAATGATTCAACAAGACTTATATTTTTTTACAATTCCTACACAATCTTATATATTTCAATATGAATTGAAAATATACGGGACTGTTATATCTTTACAGAAATACCAAGGATGGTATCAAATTCATCTACTACGTATCAAAGTACTGAAGGAGACGCTACTTTGAAGATACCGTGTGTCGCCAATGGAGACCCAAAACCAAGCATCACCTGGAAAATGGACGGTCAGCCCATTGCAATGCCAAGTAAGCAACTAAGCAACATTCAATACATTGTAATGTGGCATTTAACTAATTTCTGATCATGCATTAAATCGGAATGTAGTGCAATTTGCGTCCAAGTTCACTCATGGTTTTAGGCCAGAATCCACCTAGTAGTACTTTGTAACTTTGAGCGTGAGAACACTCATTAAGGCCAGACAAAAAGAAAATAAGAACAATAAAAACATAAATTATTTTGTTTCAGGTGCCAAGTATGTGGTAGAAGACGGAGCACTTGTAATAAGAAATCCGACAGTAGCAGATACTAAGTCGTACGAATGTGTAGCTACTAATGAGGCCGGCTCAGTAAGCACCACTTTCAAAACATTCATACGACGTGAGTATTTTCAGAACTTAACCATACAAACATCAATAAAGATTTTTACGAATGCGTACACATTACCATATCTTTTCGAAATAATACTGAAATGTAATATAATTATTTTACAGAGAAACCACAAGTTGTAGGTGTTGCTACTAAGAAGGTTAACCTCGGAATGGCCGTTGATATAGAATGCAGGTGGATATTTATTCGTCGAGATTAACAATATATTATAGGATGTAAAAAATAAAATACGATATTTAATAGTAGATTACAAAAAATGGGTTAACATGAAAATAATTCATTCATTCTCTCCACATGTCTTTGAATATTTCATTTGTTGTCTATTGTAGCGTTGTCAAGGGTTGGCCAAAACCGAACATAAGATGGTTCGTGGATAACTCTGGAAAACAATTCGTGCCAATCGCCGGGTCGCTAGATGTGATGCACATTGCGAGGGCAGAAAACATACACACAGGTCGCTACAAGTGCGTGGCACAGAGCAAAGCTGGAACGGTCGAACACGTCACTAGTCTTACTGTGGAATGTAAGTTCAACACATCACAATACATCCAGGATCTACGGGACTTTATAGGATTCTTAAAAATCAAATCATAAATAAATGTCGTTTATTACAATACCCTATTTCAAGGTTTGAGTTGACAACTCATCCACAGATTCAAAGAAAAAGTCAATAAACTATTAAATAATAATGCAACATTAAATTGTTTTGTTTGCAGCACGACCAGAAATCGTTACAAAATCTAAATCAATAGAAGTCATAGAAGGCGATTTAGCAATAATGGTACCTTGTGACGTTACAGGAGTTCCACAGCCCGCTGTTACATGGAAAATTAATAATACTATTATTAAACCTAGTAAGTACAAAATCCTGATCCAATACAAACACAAAATTGTTAATAAATAACAAAACATGATTAAAATTGAATACTATGCTAAATGCTAATAGTTTTATCATATGAAAATAATAAACAAAAGTATTTATCAGAGGAGACTGCCTCGTTGCTCGAGCGGTCGCAAGTGCGACTGCCGGGATAAGGGGTCTCGGATTCGATACTCGGATCGGACAAAGTATTACTGGGTTTTTAAAATTTCTTAGTAGCAGCACGGAGTCTGGAATTGTACCATAGTGTGGCAATAGGCTCACCCCCTATTACATAGGACTCATAACATAAATAGTGAAAAGTGGGTGTTACATTGTACAGTGGCATTAAGTGCCGAAATTTGCACCTTTGCCTAACTCTTCGGGGATAAAAGGCGTGATATTATGTTATGTTAGTATTTACGAAAACCTAATCTTTTAAGGGGTGCTCTGTGATTTTCGCACGTAACGAAGCATCCTCTAAACTGTTGATGAGCTGACTGCGATTCAACCTCTCCTGTCATGGAAGACTCCTCTAGTTTAGGAAATAATTCGAGCTGATAATAAAGGCGACGATAGAAGACAGACGAGAGTTTCTATAATTTTACTTTCAGATCTAAAATACTCGTTCAGCAATGGATCACTGATTATCCAAAATCCGAATAAAGCAGAAATTGGAAAATACGTCTGTGAAGCTAAAAACTACCTCGGATCAATCAGCACCACAATTGTAGTTACATTTGAAAGTAAGATATTTTTATAAACTTTGAATAAATACACTGACAACTGATGAGTATTGATGAAGCGAAAGAGGTAGGGTGAACTCATCTAACTTCGTGACAAAAGCATTTGAGTAATAAAATACCAATAAATTATTAATTAATTTAATTCAGTCTCCGCATGAGTTTTAATCAGTCTTTTATGAGGAATATTAGCACAAATAATCAGATTTTTTTCTAGAAACCTAAGAGTTCTACCAAATTTACTAAACCGAATTATTAGGCGAGGCACAGAATTAGATGAGTTCACTATATGTAAGAATCGTAGCACAATATTCAGATATAAAATCCTACTTCGTAAAGGTAATAAGGAGGCTCAATTACCCCTCAAGTAAAGGTAAAGCACTTGTAACGCCCCTGGTGTTTCAAGTGATCATTAACCATCAGGTGATCCTTTTGCACGATTACTGGCTTATCCCATAAAAAGTAAGCTTTTCAAAACACTGCTGTGTATATTATTAATAGGTATTATTAGTATTATATAGGTAAAATGAAATAATTTATCATATAAACTACGGTTAAAAACGACCCTATTGTTTTGAAACCGGTTAATCAATATACTAAAAATCTTCAGAGACAAACACTTTTCTGAAAACCGCATGAAAATCGGTTGAGTCATTCGCTAGATAATTGCGAACAAACATACATATATACAATTACATACAGGCGATACTTACTTTTTTTGAAGTCGGTTAATAAAATGAATGTTCTCAAGTATCTTTAACTCAAACTCGGCCGTGGTCGTCTCATGGCTGATGATGATTGATTTTATTATTTCAGTTGTATTTTTCACTCCTAATAATTGTGATTTTATACAGAAAAATCCAGCGTTTAAGGTAGTCAATGTCAATTCTTCTAAGCGTCAATGGGAGCGAGCGGAGAAAAAATATAAAACTAATCTTTAATCTCTTCTATTTAAACTCTATTTGTTTGTCATTAATTAAGAATTATGATTTAATTTCATACAGAAAGACCCAGCACTTTCGGAACAACACACTTCGTGTACTTATTATATGGTCAAAACAGGGATATCGAATGTGAAGCGTATCGTTCTAAATCTCAATCAATTAAATGGTTCAATGTAAGTAGATTCCGCAATTTCTTACACGAAAATTCATCCAATTTTCGTTTAGCCAGGATACTCTAATATTTTTTTTGCTTCCACAGAATGAGGGAGAGTTGAAAAAGAAATCCATTCAAATAACTAAAGCAACGGTTTCAAATGACGGCAACTACACATGTCATGTGAGTGACAAGCAGGGACACACGGAAACACACACATACGTTGTTGATGTGGGCGGCCCACCCAAACTATTGGGAGATAATCCCCTTAATGATTGGCGTGGCGAAGTACAAGAAATCCGATCCAACTGCGATAGCGACGCAAAACCACAAGCTAAAGTAAGTCCCAGCACATGACTCTTAGTGTACCAACGTACGTGACGTTTATTGTAGCTACTTCCATCAACACTTAGGTGCTATGCGGCTAAAACCGACTTGAATAATTTTCAGGTTCAATGGAAATATAATGGTAAAGTGATACCTGATAATGATGTGCAAGATATAGGTGTCATCTACAAATGGGGTCATTATACTTGCAACGTATCTAATCCACACGGCTCCGTATTGAAAGATTTTGACGTAAAGTCTTCTGGTAAGTGTAACTAACGAACTCAAAATATTAATATGAAGTTACTTGAAATAGCATTTGCTCACACAGCTCAGCTGATTGAGTAAATGCTTTGATTTGTAAAGCAGGGTGAATTAAACCGAGTCGCAGTTATTTTATAGTGTTGTACTTTTTTTTGATAGATAGTATATATATATTTGTTTATTTAATAGTGAGAAGTTCGCTAGATCAGCAAGTATTAATTTTATTATTTTTGATAATTCAGGCTCGGAAATAGAGCCTAGTCCTTATTAGAAATAATTATATTGAAGCTTTTGTTACAGTGGAATTTTAATTATTTATCTGAATGATAAACTTTAAGTGAAAAGTAAATTAATTATCCTTTGTTACAGTATGTTTGATACCCAAAAACTCAAAATACGCCGAGTATATGCCACTACTACTCAGCGAAGATGGAACTTGGCCCAAATGGAAGACCTCGAAATATTTCTTTGTAGTAGATGCAGAGGAAACAACTACTTTAACTTGTCTGAACCGCACAGATTATCCAAATTCTTTCAAAATATTCCCATCAAAGACTGCAATAGTAGCAAAATGTTTTAAAGAAGACGAATTGGTAGTGGATGCGGGAATATATAAAATTTCGGAGCTGCAATGTGCTCATAAGAATTATTATTTAACAAACAATGCTGTTCGAATAACACTATGGTTTACCTCTGGTAGTTTTTCTCAATTTTGTGGAGTCTATTATTACTTCTTTTTACTTATTTACTACTATTATTTGTAAAAATTAAGCTAACACCAGAGGCTTGCGAAACCCATTGCCGATCCTGTGGGAAAATGTTTAATTGTAAACAATTTTTGGTAAACCCACATCGGTGGCACAATCTATGTGTGTTGCATTAGGCATTCAAAACTGTTTTAGTTATGTATTATAATTAATGAATTATTATACATTTCCAGTACAATTACATTTTTACTCTAAGATTATAATTATGTACTTTATTATATTGATTTTAAATACCATAATCTACCTAATTTGATATTGGCTGTCAAGAGGAGACCTGCCTTTTGTTTTAAACTAGTTAAGAGGTTTATCATCAGAATGCCAAGCACGAGTACCTATCGCATCCGTAACGTAATAGTATCGAGCGCGTTCGGCGCTGTGATTGGTTAGTTCACTGTTCGACCAATCAGAGCGCCGATCGCGCTTGGTATTATTGTCCACTCTGACGTCCATGGATAGCACAGTATCCAAAAAAAAGTAGCGTCATACGCCCACAGATTCACTTCGTTGCGGGAACCAAGACATTTATTCATGTCCCTGGGACGTGCCGGACTTTAGTGTTCCGGTGTTTTCATGGTTGTATCTACTGTAGATACTGGCTTACAGGAGTTGCAGCGATTTTGGGAGGTTGTTTAATATAATTTAGTTGTTCGTGCTTGGCCCCTTAGTATGCCTTGTACGTATTTGTTTTACGTTAACGCGATCGACACATTTATGCCGTTTAGCGCTTTGATTGGCTGCTCCAAGCTAATCAATCTAGCAGAAGGATAAACGCAGTGTCGATCCTTAAAACTAACTTGATCTAGGTACTCTGAACTTAAACAATGTAAAGTAAAGAGTTCAACTAAAGAGCTTATTATGCCATCAGATCATTTGCTTATTGATTTTTCACGGAGTGTGTGTATAACGGTTAAATGACTACATCTAATTTCTTTTTGTTGTAATCGCCAATAATATTATTAAGGCTTAGTTATATTATCCCAATAGTATAATGCACGCGACCGTAAAGCCTGCGGTACAGATTTAATTCTATACAAGCATTGTATTGTAACCTACCTAGAATAGTTAAATAATAAGCTTAGATTAAGTATATGTGGACAAAATGAAAATAAATACATTTGATTGTTTGTTATTTGATTATTATTTTCAAATTTAATTTGATTATTATTTTCAAATTTAATATTGATTTTTATTTTCAAAATGACAAAACTAGTTTAAATTTCTTTCGCTACTAAATACTTAATTAATACTATTATGTGTACTTTTGTAATCGATTGTAATAAATTGCATTTTACTATAATAAAATTAATACTGCCTCATTGGCCGAGTGGTCGCAAGTGCGACTGACGGGTAAGGAGTTGGATTCCCGGGTCGGACAAAGTTTTACTGGATTTTAAAAATTCTCAGTAGTAGCACGGAGTCTAGAATTGTGCCCGGTATATGGCAATAGGCTCATCCCCTATTACATGGGACTCATAACATAAATAGTGAAAAGTAGGTGTTACATTGTACAGTGGCATTAAGTGCTGTAATGTGCACCTCTGCCTTCCTCTTCGGGAATACAAGGTGTGATGTTATGTTATGTTATGTTATTTATTTAGACATTTGTGCAGTATTTGCTATCAACTATCTGGATTCAAATGGTTTTGGTATTAAGTAGACAATTTAAAGAAACATAATTTATTAGCATACATATTATATGAAGTATACAAAACATTATTTAGACACTACTGACAACAGTGAAGGAACATATCGTAAAGAAATTGTTTAAAGAATTTGTTGTTATTGAGAATAATGTCCAATTATTCGTTTCAATTTAACAACCTGCATAGAGCAAGCGTGGTAATTAATCCTCAAACCTTTTCAATGCGAGAAGATACCTTCGGTCAGTAGTGGCCACTTATAGGCAGTTGATGTGATGTTACACATACATAAGAATTTAAATTTTCAAAATCGGTAGGTACTGCATTACATATATAAGTTTAAAAACTTTTATAAGGCATAAAAATAAAAAGTGACGCATTTATGGAATTTATAGATTTACGGGTACAGTGGTACACCAGCAATGGCTTCTTCTTCTATCTTACATTCATTCTTTCCACGTAGTATTTTAAAGAACCCTTTCTCACCCCAGTTACTATTCCAAGAATTCGCACAGAGCCAGTACTTGACGCCATTTTCTACTCCCCAGCCCAACATCTTAACAGCGTGTCGAGCAACCAGCTTCTCTTGTGGGTAATGCACATATACTCCATTTTTGTAATGGAAAAAGGAGTTATAAACGTCGAAAGACACCTCTACAGGTCCATTTTTGTACAGTTCAGCTTTAATACTCTCTTCATTGGGTTCAATGCGATACACTCTTTCACCACGACGTTTGTCTGTTGCATAATCTATACTGTTGGAATCGCATTTTTTTTCACAAGTATTAGGGAAAGGCAAGCTGTACCGTTTACATCCTTCAAGCGTATGATTATTGTTTCCTCCAGATACAATACCACATTTCTGCCAATATAGCCAAGCTAATGAAGGGTAACCACCTTTTGAGCATCCTTCATGCTGGCAGTTACGACAGCAAGAAAGAAGATCTTGAGCAGAGAAGTGAAAGTTATATTTGCCATTAGAATATGTACAGTATCTGTCAGTCATCGCTTCCACAGCACCGAATGCCCAGCAACTGCCACATTGGCCTTGATCTCTTATTTCGTTCAAGCTAGGGCAGTTCGGCCATTTAGTCCTTGGATCGAAGCTCTCTGGGAGATTAATACATGTGCTGACGTGATCTACTTTTTGTAAATTAAAGTATTTGGTATCTTTCAATGCACCAAGTAACTTCCGCAGTTCTGTAATTGGCTTATTTTTCGGAAAGTTTCGGCCGGCTTTCCAGAACTTTTGCTTGGAATTAAGGAAAGCAATGAATTCGTCGGACACTGGATCCAGTAGGTTGATGTCGTTAACTGCAACAAAATCGCATGCTTTATCAAATATTGCACTGGTACTAGTTTGTTTTTCTTTAATTAATATATTATATTTCTGTAGTTTCTGATATTCTTCATAATAATCTATTTTAATTGCATTGGAGAAAACAACAATGATGATAAACAAAATATATTTTTAATTCATTCTGGAAGTAGGTAATATGAAAAATTTGACTAAACATGCAGCAACAACGAATATCAGAAAATTCGTAAACAAAGCGTTGCAACATTACCACCCGCGTCGCTCGCATCGCGTCGACTGGGGTCTAATATAGAGCTGATTGGTATACCGCTTGTAATACACAATAATAATCAATATTAATATATGTCTCTTCTACAAAAATATATAAGTATGTATAAATAGTAAAAAGAACTTACTTTTTGGAGGCTTTGAAGGTGTAACAGGAATCTTCGCGATACGCTTTATAATGTTACCCGTTGCTTTCACTTTTCCAATTACCTAAAGAATAAATATTGTATATCATTATTTTATTGTTGCTGATCAAAATACTTCTGACGATTTGCTGGGATGGCCCGGAGGTTTCAGACGCCCGCTTGAACTTGAGGTTGCGGATTCAAACCCCACCAACGGCAAGTATCAATGGGACTTTTTCCAAGCTATATGTACTTTCTACATAAGAATGTCTAGGCACTACAGACAAACAGTGAAGGAAAATATTGTGAGGAAAGTTAGACTTATAATTTCTAATTATAAGTTTGCAATCGCTAAACCGCATTGAGCAGGGGTAGCGATTAATGCTCAAATGTTCTCCGTGTGCCTTTAGTCAGCAGTGGGCACTTATAGGCTGTTAATGATGATGACGCCGGATTTCTTTATGCTACTAGGTACTTAACTTAATCATTAATTTGCTTTTATGATTATAAGGTGTTATATAAAGAATATATTATGTAAGCAACACTTACCGCTACTTTAAACATTTGTGCTGGTGTAACTAAAAGAGGAGTGACGTAAAAATCTTTAGAAATTTTGGTCAAAGGAAGATCTGGAATGATCGGCTTCTCATTCATTCCTAAGATCTGTGCCTTTGTAATTTCCACTGATTGGCGTTCATCAGTAACTAATACTGATAAGTAGACCCCTTTATCTGAAATAATAATGTTTAGTTATAGCAGTGTTTGATTAACAATTAAATTAAATAATAAATGGAGCAGAATGGTGTCCGAGAAACAAAAAATAATATATTACTTATCACAAAATGAAATTGTAAGTGAATAATATATTAAACTAACAACTTACTAGTGATTGGTTGGAGAGTCGTGTCCTTAAGTGACTTGGGCTTCTGCTCGGAGAAACCATGTTTGAAGAGGAAATCAGACCTGCCCACTACGACGACGGATGTCTCTGATGCACCTTTTACGGTAGCGATGTACTTGCCAGGCTTCACGTTAAGCAACTTCAACACCTAAAATAGGTAAGAGTAATACTTATCTAGTTTTGTGGGACTTTGCGCGACAGTTTGTATTTTGCATAAACTCTAGAAACATTTTATACAAATACTGAAGTAGAATACAAACTAATACTTAAATACATGGTAGGACAATAGTGTAGATGATTAAATATGTTTTTTATTTTAATCTCCGTCTGGTAGATTATTTGAAATTACGTAAAAATTGCGAATTAGTCATGTGCATTGAGAAAAGCTCTACTAGTTTCGAACCACAGAGGGGTTTTAGGATGCGCCACATCGCCACAACCGCGCAAGCTGCTCATGAGGAATAATCCCTTTGTGATTCGAAGCTAGTAGAGCTTTTCTCAGTATTTGCACATAAGTAACCCGCGATTTTTAGTTAACCTGTATGGTCTCACGATAGTTAGGTATTATAAATACGTATTTTTGATAGGTACTTCTAGATAGGTTATGTACGTAGAAATGACGTTGTTAGCTCCTTAAGTTTGATTCGTTTTATCTAAGTTTTTTTTTCTAATACGACAAAATAAAAAGTACCTATCTAATATTTTTTCATAAGTAACTGACGAACTAAATGAATTCTTTATTATCAGATACCCTGTCATCAGATCAGATCATCATCATCACATCAAATCTTTAATGCATAAAATAAGAAACTAAACTAAGAATAGCTACGACCTCATGAATAAGAAATCTATGAGAATGCTAAGAATCCTCCTAAAACCATGTTTATAATAGGACACACTTCTTATTTAAGTAGTTATATTTTGTGATACTCACTTTAGCATTGGGCTTCCACAATAATTGTTTCTTGCTGTCAGTAGGTCCAGTTACTTTTAATACCACGTCCTTACCCGTCGCGGAAACGATGGCGTATTCAGTTTGTTCATCTATGTTGAACTGAAAAAAATTCATCACATGGCTTTTTATATTTAGATTTGTTTTTTGTTAAAATGAAATTGATAGTGGACTCTACGCAGACGTATGCGAACCAAATAGGCAATGTATCGAATGTGATATAAGAAGCACTCACCGGGATATCTTTCAAAACACCAGCTGGCACAGTCGTCGAAGTAATTATAATCTTTTCGCCGCTTATAATGTCAGTTATTGGTTTGAGTACCTGTAATAAAAACAAAAAATATATCAATAATAAATGAAGAAGACAGCCTCATTGGTTGAGTGGTCGCAAGCGCGACTGCCGGGCAAAAGGTCTCGTTTTCAATTCCAGGGTCGGGCAAGGTAATACTGGGTTTTTTAAAAATCTCAGTAGTAGCACGGAGTCTGGAAATGTGCCCGGTATATGGCAATAGGCTCACCCCCTATTACATGGGACTCGTATCATAAATAGTGAAAATTGGGTGTTACATTGTACCTATAGTGGCATTAAGTGCCGTAATATGCACCCCTGCCTACACCTTCGGGGATAAAAGGTGTAATGTTGTGTTACATTAAATGAATAAGAAAATAGAAATATGGAGCTCCCCGCTTTTAAAAAAATAATACCTATACTATATTGCGAAAATAATCTTATATGTACGATGATTGGTTCTGATTACAGGTTTAATTTATTGTCAATACTGGGTACGTTCTGAAGCATTTGCTTGTCATTTGTTCATGATTGTTAGAACTTAAATGTTGCTTACCTCTGAAACTGCATCTTTTTCTACTTCATAAGCCAAGCCTGAACATGCCTGGGCTATTGAATAATACACTTTCATATATTTATCCGGATAAGTTGCGGTACATCTTCCGGTAATCACAAAAGAGATCTGTAAATGAGAAGGTATATGGTTTACACATACATAAAATTAACAGAATATAATTAGATAATTCCATTTTCTGAAAACATGTTTAGAATATGATCAAGGGGACCAAAAAAAGGGGGTTATTAAAGTGATAAGGTACGAATATTGACCAGATTAAACTTGTCATAGTTTGTTTGATCTTTATAAGGCTGAACACATGCTGATGAATATTATAATGGTTCATATAAAATGAACTACAAATATCGAAAACCATTAGTGACTGACTGACTGCCATATTAGCCGAGTGGTTGTAAGTACAACTGCCGGGCAAGAGGTCTCGGTTTCGATTCCTGGGTCGGGCTATGTATTACAATGTTTTAAAAAAATCTCAGTAGTAGCACGGAGTCTGGAAATGTGCCCGGTATATTACATGGAACTCATAACATAAATAGTGAAAAGTGGGTGTTACATTGTATAGTGACAATAAGTGTCATAATGTACATCTCTGCCTACCCCTCCGGGGATAAAAGGATATTATGTTATGTTATCAAAAACCACTAGGATGGAATCGTCGAGCTTAGTCCTTCATCCATATGAGTTTTTTTATAGTGGCAAATCTGTAAACGGGCAGACAAATTGCTAAGCAATCGGCCTCGCCCATAGATACTCGAAACACCAAAGGCGTAACAAGTGCGTTACCGGACTTTTGGGAGTTAGGAATTTGAGGATTGTTGGGAAATCGGGTATTTAGGAAGTAATTGGAAGTAACTTACACGACGACCCGTTTTCTGTGAAGTACCACAAGGCAGGCATTACTACTTACCGATTCATATCTAAATACACATCGAAATCTAACATGTGGTATTATTTTACCCAAAGAGGAATTTATTAAACATAATGATTGTATTTTTACGCTACAATTTATGACAATTTTTACGTTTCGTACCTGAGTTTGCTTTTCCTGACACAGTTGTTTAACAGCGATTTCATGTTGAAAATCTTTGGCTGAAGCATCGGTGAACACGTAGATGTGGGAGCCACGATTACTGTTTTTCAAAGCAAGCAGCAATCCATTCAGAGATGGTTCTTGACAATCAGGATTATTGCGGTTATGTACTTGAACCTCCGACAATGCTTTGTTAAATGTTTTTCGATCCTTAGTCACTGCTCTCACATGTGCATCTAAAGTAAATAGTCAGTGATGAAAAACGTGGCATTTTCCAAGTAGGTACTTGCGTACGCAATGCTAATGTAGGTACATTACATTGCAGAGTTAAGTTAAAATTCTAGACAACGTCCACTAACAGATTATGTTTTTATTACAATGGCTTCTAACAAGACGAGGGCATAATAAGATACCTCAGTCAATATGCTAAAGCTCTCAGAAATTCACAAGAAAATAATTGATCATTGTAAATTAAAAGTTTACAAAGATCAACTATTTTCTTAGTTATTTTTTCTATACTGCGGACGAGAACTACCTGTTTGAGATTTTTAATCTAGATACGAAAATATTATTCAACATTGTTATTCGATTGTATATAATGAAACATAACAAAAAACATGTATAGAATCGACAGAGACATATTTTAGTATTCCATGGATCAGCTCACAACAAGACACGATTCGATGCGATTTTTGTTTGCGTTAACTCAAAAGCAACTTTATTTTATTCACGAATATATACAAATTTCAAAGTTGATGCCACGTGGCGTCGAGCTGCGTTGAGTTGTGTCGAGCGGCCTCAAGCAGTCGACGCAGCTTGGGTACGTGACGTTGGGACGTTGGTATCCTTCACTAACCTCTCCCAGTATAGTCGCATCGCGTCGCGTCTCGGTGTGAGCTGACACTTATCAACAGAACGTTCTTTTATTTAAATTGACTTGGACATACCTGGGTCGTTGAATGTGACGAGCACCATATTGCTGATCACGCTGGCCTTCTCATTGAACACAATGTCCATTATCTGACCGACACTCTTTTTGACTTGATTTATGTCATCAGTCATTGAGAGAGTGTCATCTATAACGAAGGCTAAACTCCCTTTCTCCGCACTGATGCATGATGCCTTCATAAAAACATCAGCGAATACCAGCAATACCACCAGCGGATAAACCCGCCCCAACATTGTCGCAAATTATTTAATATCAAACTAAATAATTGACTGATCCGTCTAAATGAAAGACGGACACTGTGATGGACCTTGTTGCTGGACTGTAATATATACCCCCAATATCCACCGTGTCTTACCTATTTTTCAAAATTTTTCCTTTTATTATTCGTAATTTTAGTATCATCTTAATTTATTCCAATAAACGTAAATCGGGCTTAAATTAATTTTGTTTACCTCATTTATTATTATGTGTACCTGCATATTTTCTCGTAAAAATAACACAGGTACTAAGGGAAGCTTATCTCCCATCAAAAGAAGCGGATACTTTTTAATTTTAGTTAAATAAAGTAATTTTAAATTAAATTCTTCTGAAAAAAAAATATCAGTTAAAAAATTATTTTTTTTGGCCGGAAATCATCGAATATCTTCTCCCGCCTGGGTGAGGCGAAAGGAAGTGTCAGGCTCTTACAATACTGACTAAAAACCACCCCGTTCTTACTCCCGCAATTCGAACTAGAGCCCCGGCAACACGTTAATTCCGCCGTAGCTCCGTATCGGCATCAGCCCTATTGGGCCCCACCTGTGGTGATCTGATGGCTCCCTGATTGATGAATTATTATGTAGAAGAAGAAAAAGCATTCAAAATTAAATTATCAGCACCGTGTCGATATAAGAAAAAGACAGCATAAGTTTTCAACGATTATGCGAATACAACTGACAATTCGTCTTTGAAACTTGTCTCGAAATGTCAAAATCTAAACTTTTCTATGAATATTGCATGAGACCGCAATTTATGACGTCAGAGGTACTTTTCTTCAAGAGCAGTGAACATTCATGATTTTTAACCGATACGACTAAAAAATTCTCTCTTTAGAAATGTTGTCTATTCTTTGATTAAAGGCCTGGCCTAGTAACAATTAGACGATAATTTTGACATATTGTTTATTGTAGGTAAATTATTAATTATGTCGATTTTAGGTAATTTATTATTGAAATAATAACTGTATTAATATATGAATAACTTTTAATTATTTATAAATTGTGAGAGAAGTAGGTTTGTATGATTATATGAAATGTTATTTTGAAAATATAAGTAGAAAAATATATTGTTCGAAATAATGACATTTATGTGGAATAAAAATAATTTTCCTCATTCAGTAGTACCTATCTTAGAATGTTGTATTTGTAACTACTAGTGGCCTGTCTTTGATTTGAGTAGGCGTAAAGTATTTTTTCGTCGTCTTGACTTCTCAATGCACCGGTTTTAACCGTCAGACATTTCAGCTTACAGGCAGCTAGCCAGTATCTCTGTCACAGTTGGATAGATAAAGCCATAATATAATTCTATATATAGGGATTATATCCTAGGGATATAATTATATACCGTTACGAAAGCAATTTAATACTATCTCACTAGGAATATAGTTTTAAAACGGTCCAAGTTTAGTGATATAGTTATATTAGTAGATCAAGTTTAGTGAAATAGCTTTCAAAATGTGCGGCAGCTGGCCGGTGTTTCGCCGCTACTAGATGTCTGTACGTCTGTAAGAAGCATTCAGTGCTATGTAATACGGTAGTTGACAACTGGTCAAATTCAATACTTTTGTCGAAACGTCAAAATCCTATGAGACGAAAAGAAATACCATCTTATGTCGTCATCATATTTTTGCGATATAATAATCGAAAAAAAAATGCTAGAATAAATCGAATCCTTACTAATATTATAAATCTGAAAATGAGTTTGTTTGTTTGTTTGTTCCACCTTCACGTCGTAACTACTCAACCGATTGCTTTGAATTTTTGCAGACGTAAAGTTAGAAGTCCGGATTAAATAATAGGGTACTTTTTAACCCGGAAAAAAATGATATTCCCGAGGAAAAACAAAAGTATTGGTATAGATGGCGTTGTGTGTATTGGTATATGTCACATAGGCTACTTTTTATTCTTTTGTGATGCGAGCGAAGCCGCGGGTAAAAGCTAGTTAAAAATATCGGCAAATCATGAATGAAAGTGTGAATGAAACTATTTTTCAATATTTAATTGGACTGAAAAATGAAAATAATTTATTTTGGACCTAGGAAACTACCCAATTCTAGAATAAAAATTCATATAAAAAAAACGGACTTTCGTTCTTTAGTCTCGCTAAAACTCAAGAATGGCTGAACCGATTTGGTTAATTTTGGTCTAGAAATGTTTGTGGATTTAAGATAAAGTTTTTAGGCGGTACAAAGTTAAATTCGTTTAAGTATTCGCTTCTTCCGATTTCAAAAAATATTTTTTTGCTATAAAGGGTAGGCTTGTCATTTGGTTCCATTGTCATGAAGTCAGGATCTGATGATGGAATCCCTGGGATACTAGTGCATTTGTCAATTTTTCCGTTAAGTTTTTAAAACCACTACAATAGTCTGGAGTTGATGTGATGATGGAGCCGAGAGGCAGTCGAGGGAAATCCTCAACGGTTAACAGTAGCTACATTGTGTTTGGATTTGAATAATTTGTATTGATGAGGACTTTATACTTAGGTGGTATGTGATGGCTAATAAGGGTCTGATGATATAGTAGTACTATAGTTGCGGGAACTTCTCAACGGTTAACAGTCGCTAGTTTGAGTTTAATTTGTATTGATGAGGACTTTATACCTTTTTTTTGTTGACCGGGGGAAACCTTCAAAAGGCGCCTAGATTTTTGGGGAAAAAGACTAGGGTGTGTGGGATTTTTACCTCACTAAAACCTCCCCGGTGGCCACCAGAAGGAGGCACCGGGTCCTAAAGGTATGGTGTGGTTGTCAATAAGGGTCTGACGATGAAGTAGTACGACAGTTAAGGGAACTCCTCAAAGGTTAACAGTACCTATCTTGTGTTTAACTCGTCGAGTACCGGTTTTATAGACACAATCAAAGAACAATAGGTCGCGGTCACCGGTGACCGCTTGGTGTTTGACAGTTTAAATTGTGATTAATTTGTGTTGATGACTAAATGTCCAATGATGAAGTAGTATGATAGCTAAGAGAATAATGGTTAACAGTAGCTACCTAGTGTTTGATCTTGAATAATATGTATGGATGAAAACTTTGCACCGATGTGGGTTGTACATAATAATTGGTAATTGATTGGTATTGGTAATTGATTTGTAATTGGTTGGTTTACTTAGTTAGAAATTTGAGTCTAATGAAGAAGTCATTACTGAAACAATCGCGTATTTTGAGAGCCTTGAGAAAACCTATTATTTAGAGGAAATAAAAAATTCGAAAAATACTGAACTAAATAAAAATATAATTAATATGTTTATTTGCCGCCAAAAAATTCCAAAAGAAAATATAATTTAGGTAATGCTCACAGGTATATCCATAATAAAATTGTAATAGATAGCTATTAAAGTTTTAACTCGTCGAGCACCGTATTTATAGACACAATTAAAGAACAATAGGTTGCGGTCACCGGTGACCGATTGGTGTTTGACAGTTTAATGAATAATTTTGTGTAAAACTAATGGCACTGACTTCTCACCTATCAGTGGGTGTGTAAGCTAGAAGTACGTATGACCAATAATAGTTATAATTTTGTTTTTTAGTTTTTACTTTTCGTTTGTTTTTAGTTTTTGAAATCGTTTTTTTTATAGCAGTTTTTATTTTTATTGATTGCCATTGTTTCGGTTGGTATATAGATGCTGATAGAGGTTTGTAGCTACTTTGTTTATGTTTTTTCGGTTTGATAAACTTCAGTAGTAATATTTCAAGCTTGGTATCCATGAACTTGATTCTCATACTTCTTTTACAACTTATCTTGTTCCTCCAGTTGATCAGCGGACGTAGGTACTTGAAAATATTTGATACCGGACTGAGTATTTGAAACAAAATAAATTATAAAATTTTATCACTTACCTACTTTACATTTAAATATTACAAATTGTTTACAACATTTTAATTAGGAAAATCCATCGACACACATAATTTCATATTATTTATTTTAATTTAGGATCGCCGTTAAACCTAAAGTTATAATTGTCATCAAATGCCGTGACCAAATAGGTACCCGATAATTTAATTACACTCACCTGTTTTACAAACATAACTAAGATTTTACAGAAAGGTATTAACTACTTGAATGCACCGATATGAGACACAATAGAAAATAAATTGCGTCTCGCTTGGATCTAAGTTTAGACACACAACGGGTTAAACGAAAAAAGGACATCAAGTACAAAATAAGAAGTAACAGATACAAATTCTAACCTGCATTGAGCAAGCGAGGTGATTAATGCTCAAACCTTCGCCATGTGAGAAGAGGGCTTGGGTCAGCAGTGGCCACTTATAGGCTGTTGATGTGATGTGATGAGGATGGAAAAATAACGTACTTGGTCTTGGTTACTTCTTCCTAGTCGTTCTTTTCATTACTGAAGGTCGTGTCTAGTCTGGTGCACGCGTCACTTGATGCACAACCCTCCTCCAAACGCCTCTGTCCTCTGCGGTCTTTATGGCCTGTGGAATTGTCCAGCCGGTTAGGTTTTTTACAGCATCCAACCACCGGGTATGTGAGCGACCACGAGGTCTTTTCCCGTTAACCTGACCAACAACCACAAGCTTCTCCAGATTGTTGGGGTCTCTACGGTCTTGGTTACATTTAGGGAAAAAATGATTTTGAGAAGGCGTACTAGTTAGAGTATATGAAGTAGGTATACTTCAATGTCATGATAATATTATTTCATACTACCTGTTGCTCGCGAGTTCGTCCACGTAGAATATGATTCTTTTATTCCATGGGAGCATTTAATCGGGATAAAAAGTATCCCATCACCTAAGGCAGCGCATACCGTGCTTGTATACCCCAATAGTAGTAGTTTCAGCGTGATTGACGGACAAACATCCAAACAAAGAAACTTTCACAAATATAATCATTATCAACAGCCTATAAATGCCCACTGCTGGGCAAAGCCTCTTCTCACACGGAGGAGGTTAGAGCATTAATCACCACGCTTGCTCAATGCGGGTTGGTGATTTCAAACTTATAATTAGAAATTATAAGCCCAGGTTTCCTCACGATGTTTTCCTTCACCGTTTGTCAGTGGTGTCTAAATAATCTTAGAAAGTACATATAACTCGCAAAAAGTCCCTTCCTCCGGAACACTTGCCAAGAGTGGACGCGTTTTATGTTTATTTGTCGAAATTGATTTTAAATAAAACAAAGTGCTTTTTTACAATATACTCTGAGTAAATAAGTTTAAAGATCATAGTTAATATTTACTACAACACATCTGCCGACAAGCCACACCTACGTGAGTGAAAGGGACGGTGTCCATAATTGCTGTCCTGCTCCAACTGCGCTGTCGCCGGGCTACCTGCCGACCCGACCAAGCGTTTATCAACTTGAACCTTACCACCAGTTAATTACGGTCGATATATATATATTTTTTCTGCCATCATGTCACAAACGCGGAAGAGCCCAGCTACAATACCAAGTACACTTGCACCTGTGACTAGCGTGAAGTTATCTCAAGCGGCTTCTGACACGGATATCCCATATACTATGAGTGACGAAGAAGTCCGCAATGTAAATTTATCTTTACGGTATAAGCGCCCTCGTTCAGATTCTTCTCCCGTGAAAAATCAGTTTGAAGACTTTAAAGATGAAATTTTGCTAATGCTTACTACGTGGAAACAGGACCAAGAGATACAAATTTCGAAATTTATGAGTGAACAAAAAGCATCTCTGTCGAAATTAATGTCGGAAATTACGGAGCTACGACTGCAAAATATTAAAATACAAAAGTCTAATACAGAAATTGAAAAGTCTATTATTTTTATTAGCGGACAATATGAGGACGTTCTAAAACAAGTTAATACGCTCTCAAAGGACACACAACAATTCGGAAATAATCTGCAAATACTTGAATCAAAAACGCAGGACCTCCAACAATTTTCTCGCTCATCCGCTATTGAAATCCGGAATGTCACGCAAAACGAAGGTGAGTCATCGGCGGATTTAACGGAAATAGTTACGAAAGTTGGTTCGGTCTTCGGTATGGCAATTACCAAAGGGCATATTCGCGATATTTACCGATTGCCAGGCAAACCTGGAACAAATAAACCCATTGTCACCGAGTTTTCTAATGTTCAAACAAAACAGCAACTACTTACTCATGCAAAAGATTTTAACAGAAGGCACTCTAAGGAAGACCGCCTAAATTCCAGGAAAATAGGACTAGCGGGCGATCTTCGACCTATCTATGTCGCGGATTACCTTCCCCTAACTTCAAGAAAACTCTTCTTTGCGACCCGGGAATTCGCCAAGACAAATGAATACAAATTCTGCTGGACTACAAACGGTCAAATTTTTCTAAGAAAGGATGAAGGTGCTAAGCAGATTTTGATTAAATCAGAACAAAGTCTGCGTGACATACCAGTGCCGCAATGACTCATAACTGAAGGAGCACCGACGACGTCCTGTTTCTTCATACATTTCATAATCATAGCCATTTTTGTATATTCTAAACTTGTTTATTTCACCACAAAAACTTTTTACCTAATAATTACTACACACCTACTCAAACTACACGACAACTCACAACACTTTATCGTAACTGTATTGTTTTGTTTACTTTTCCAATGTTTTTATATAGCAAGAAACCTGTTTGAAACAGTACGTTCGGGGCAATCAATAGAGACTGGCAAATTAATAATAACATGGCATGTTTTTTGTGACATTTTATACGGTCTTACCTACTTTAAAAATGACTACCATTAACTCGATGTGTCACGAACTAGACTCCCTAAGCATTTCTAAATTATACCGATGTCCACCCGAAAACTGTCACCAGTATATTACACAACCGACTCACGGACTAAAGATATTACATTTGAATATTCGTAGCTTAAATAAAAACTTTAGTCAATTGTTGCCGCTTATGATGACGATGAGTTTCCAATGTGATATAATTCTGTTGTCGGAGTGCTGGCTAAATAAAATGTCGCAGCTCCCTATTTTGGGTGATTATAACTCATATTACACCAAAAATACCCACAATCAAAACGATGGTTGTGCCATATATGTAAAGTCATCCCTTGCGGCTAATGTGGCTGAGCCGCAGTTTATCGACGCTAATTGTTTGGTTTGTCAGATTGATAAAATAACAGTAATTCTACTATATCGTTCTCCCTCCTATAAGGACTTAACTAATTTCATAGATAGTTTAAACGACATACTCAAGTTGCAAACTGAAACTGTAGTGCTTATGGGGGACATAAACATCGACATTAAACATGGCAACAACGATCGTAATTCTGATGAATATTTAACGTGCATCGCTTCTCACGGACTTTTGCCTACTCATCACCTGCCTACTCGGGGTTCTAACTGCCTGGACCACGTCCTCTTAAAAACCAGTCTTTCTGCCACCACGATTGTTGTTGAGTCATCTATCACAGATCATGAACCGGTATTTTTATTCCTTGCTAATAAGAAGCGGTACATTGATGCTCATCGAATTAAGTGCACGCTCGACTATGAATCTATAACTGAAGCCATCAATAACCACAATTGGTCCCGAATACTGGATATGTCTGATCCAAATTTGTCGGCAAAATCCCTTACAGAAGATCTATCACAGCTAGTAAGTAGGTTTACTCGGACTGTGACGCTCCCTAGGAAAAGCAGATGTTTGAAACCGTGGATTACACCTGGCCTCCTGCGTTGTATACGCAATCGTGATAAAATGCACCTGAAATTAAATAAGGACAAAAATAATGTTGTGTTGAAAATTTCATATACCAGATATCGTAACTTTTGTAATTCTCTCTTAAATAAACTGAAACAAGCATACGAAAAAGAGGAATTCTCTAAAGCAAAGAACAACCCCAAGGCCACGTGGGAAGTGATAAAAAAGGTGTCTGACATGCAGATAAATCGTTCGCCCCCTTCTGAACTTTTGAGGCTGTCTGATTCTCCCGTGTCCTCACTCAATCTGGTTAATGATTACTTTTCCAGCATTGGGAAAAAATTAGCTTTAAGTATTAACCCTAATCCTTCCAACACTCCACTTGCAGGCCCTTTGAAACCAGTTGGGTCGATGGTCCTTCTGGAGGTCTCATGTGAGGAAGTCGAGGCTATCATTTTAAATCTAAAGACTGACTCTGCTGTGGGATACGATGGCGTACCAGCAAGAATAATAAAAGCTTCCAGGAAAGTTCTGGTACCCATCATTACTCACATTTGTAATCTCTCTATTACCAATGGTGTTTTCCCCGACGTGTTTAAAAAGGCCCTGGTCCTCCCAATTCACAAGTCTGGGCGCAAGGATGAGGTTAACAATTACAGACCTATTTCAATTCTGACTACCTTTTCAAAAATACTTGAACGTATACTAAATAAGAGCCTTGTTAGTTACCTTAGCACAAACAAAATTTTGGCTAGCAATCAATTTGGTTTTCGAGCAAATACTAGTACTGAGGATGCTGTTCTGGCTTTCTCGCAACAAGCAGCCAGGTTTCTGGATGGGAGGCGCAGAGGATTGGGCATCTTCCTTGACTTATCTAAGGCATTTGACACCGTCCCTGCGCCCGTCTTGTTGGGGAGGATGGAGGGGATGGGGGTTCGTGGGGTCGTCTTGGATATCTTCCGCGATTATCTCAACAACAGGACTCAGGTTGTTAAAATTGGGGAGTACGTTAGTGATGAACTTGGGATAGCATACGGTGTTCCCCAGGGGAGTATACTGGGACCAACTTTGTTCCTTATTTACATAAATGACCTGTGTAAACTACCTCTGGCACACTGTAGTATTGTTACCTATGCTGATGATACAGCCTTGTTAGTTTCTGGAGAGAATTGGGGCGACTGTTTTTATAATGCTGAGCTAGCACTGTCCTCCGTAATGAAGTGGCTAAACAATAGTCTCCTTACTCTTAACATCGAGAAAACTGTTTATGTCGCATTTGCTATCAGAAACAATCTCCAGCCGCCATTTTATTACTCTCTTAAAGCCCATACCTGTTCTTCTTTTCTTAACTGTGATTGTATGGTCCTGTCCAGGGTGCAGGATGCCAAATACCTGGGAGTATACATTGACCGGAATCTCAACTGGCACAAACACATTGATGTACTCTCAACTAGGACACGTAGATTAATTTACATCTTTAAAAAACTACGTAAATCTGCCGACGGAGAAATTTTAAAAATGGCTTATCTTGCTCTCTGTCAGTCGATTCTTACTTATTGCATACCAGTATGGGGAGGTGCCGCACAGAGTATCTTTATCCGCCTGGAGAGAGCTCAAAGAGCTGTCCTGAAGGTATTGCTTTTCTTGCCCCGACGCTATTCCACAAAACTCTTGTATGAGAGGGCAGAAGTCCTATCAGTTAGGCAATTGTACGTGTTTTCATCGGTTCTCCGTAGACACTCGGGTCGGCCTCTGCAGCCCCTATCTAGCAGGCTCAGACATCGCATTTTTATCGTGGAGTCTCGAAGGACATCTTTCGCAAACCGACAATATTATATTAATAGTGCTTTATTGTATAATAGCTTGAATAAAAAACTAAGCATCTTTTCCATTAGCAAATTTCAATGTAAAGAAGTGGTAAGAAAATTTCTGCTCGGCTTGGACTATCACAGCACTGAGGAGCTGATGGGGGGCCGTCTGTAGTGGTGGGGGACTAGAATCTAGGAAAAGTGCATTCTCTTTCGCATACACCCTTGCTGTCACGCGTTAGGTTTCAAACAAATTCATAATCTCACAGGTACACCACACACACACACACACTTTCACATTCTTACACAAACACACACACATACACACCACACATAACTACCATTTATTTTTCATCCCATTTTGTTTATTTAATTTAATTACATTCTTTGTCTTCTCTGTTTGCTTTTTGTTGATCTTAATTTGAATTAATTTGTTATGTAAAGTCTATACTAGGCTCACAATGATACCATACATGAGGGCACTGATCTCTGTGATACAGGTATTTCCTAGTACAGAGGTCAGAGTTTTTAATTTTGTACTACGACACCATGACTTGTATCAAATTAATGTAATGTATGATGTATAATGTAATGTAATGTAATAAAAATTATTATTAATTATTATAAAGTCACATTGGTACTTGCCGATGGTAGGTTTCGGACCCGCACCCTCGTGCATGAGAAGCGGGCGTCTTAAACCTCCGGGCCACCACGATTCACAATTATAATATTAGTATGATTTACGATACATATTGTAAAGTACACCTACATTTACGTTTTATCCGGTAGGCGCCACCCGTCGTCTCCCTCAAATAAATTCAGAAAGTTGCACTTGGTCATGAATGTAAATTTCCAGGAGATGCAAAAACATTTCAACAGGAATAAATAGCACCTATGTAGGTATTCGAGCACCTTTATAATCTGCTGTTTGTATTGACATGAATTATTAAATAAAATAAATAAATAAAAGATTCTTAAAGACTTTTGTAAGAATGACCTCATATTGATATATATTTTTGGAGTCTGTTACAACCTTCCCACACACAGGACACAATATCAGAGTCAGTTCTACCACTGAGAAATTTTCGAAAAACCCGGCTTTCCTAATACTTAGCTTGATGAAACCCGAGACTTACAGCTACTAATCGACAAACGAAACAGTGTTGGTCTATTACATGGGACATAAATGACGAAAATTGTGTGTACAGTATCTACATTTACTAATATTATAAAGAGTAAAGATTTGGTACTTTGTTTGTTTGTTTGTGTTCAATAGGCTCCAAAACTACCGGATCAGACCGGGACATGACACCACCGTTTCCCGGACCGGGAAGTGGTGGTTTAGAAAGATACAAAATCAGCCTGTTACACAAAATCACGTCTATTGCTAGCTCCGTTCTGTCGTGAAAGACGGACAAACGTTGACATTTAGACAAATTTATATTATCTAGTTACGCTATTTATAACTTAAGAATGGCACAATCGATTTGGATGAAAATTGGTAGGGAAGTAGGTTAGAATCAGGAGATGGACTTAGGGTACTTTTTTACTTTTTACCGAAAGTTACGAATGGGGACGGGAAAAAAACGGGATTGCGCGTACAAAGTCACGGTCAGAAGCTGGTTAAGTATAGATTTGTATGTCATCTGTCATTTTTTAAGTTAGTTTCATGCCAATGGATCAATAATAATTTTGATATATTACATTATTGGTAGGTATTAACATTAAGATATGTGAAAAGGTCAACAGCAGTCTAAAAGGGAGAAATGCATGAATAAAATATTTTTGACTTAGGTACGTATTTTTTCATGTAAAAAAAACCTACGGGAGCTATACCTTACAATCCCGGGACTCATTATCTTCTGCTACTGAACCTACATATTTGATTGAATTTCTGTTCCAGGATAGTTTAGAACATTGGCACTGGAAAGGACATAATATGATTGTTCTATCCTGGAAATCCCATAGGACAGGAATTATGCGTTAAAATTCTGGGACTCTATCGCTTAAACCACTGAACTTATTTGAGCGCAATTCGGTGAAACTTGGGAAAAGATGCGGGATAGTTTTCATTCCGAAAATCCTATGGAAACGGGAACTGTGTTAAACTTCCGAGTCTGTCTATCTTTTGAGGTAAGTACGTAGGTACTCCTTTCGAAGTTTAAAATTGAAACCATTGAACTTAAATTCCGGAATTCGGTACAACGATAGTTTGAGACCTGGAAAAGATCGCCGGAGAGTTTTCAACTGCTGTACCCAGGTATAAAAAAAATATTTAATTAGTCTTTTACGTTCACAATTTGATTAAATTATGGCACATCGCAGTCCCACAGTCGCGGGGAACAGCGAGTACATTACATAGTGACGCTAGGTGTTACTCGCGATTTTGTCTGTGTAATGTGCATCTCTGTATGGGGTGTAAAAGGCGTAACGATATTTTTTTTTATTAGGTATATGGGTAGGTAATCTTATACTATTATATAAAGCGGAAGAGTTTGTTTTTTGTTTGTTTGTTTGAACGCGCTAATCTCCGTAACTACAAGTATGATTTGAATAATTCTTTTTGTGTTGGATAGCGCATTTATCGAGGATGGCTATAAGCTCTAAAACATCACGCTACGATCAATAGGAGCTGAGCAGAGCGTGGGAAACCACGCGGAAGTAGCAAGTATATATAAATAAATAAAATAAATTTCTTTATTACTAGCTTCTGCCAACGGCTTTGCCCGTATTTTCCCGCTGGTAAAAATTAAGTAGTCTATGTGTTATGTCAAATCATAATCTAACTCTGTTCCAAATTTCATCCCGATCCCTTCAGTAGTTTTGACGTGACTGATTGACAAAGATACACACAGTTACACAAATTTTCGCATTTATAATTGCGGTTCAAGCTAATTACGACCATCGGACCTGTAGTTATAGCGTACAGTCTACCGTGACTAATCTAACATTCGACAAACTTACCTACCTATATTTGCGTTTGGTACTCTAATCGTATCTAGGGATCGAGCCGCACAATTAAGTTGGTTATTATGTGTACGATCTCGGTATAAAAAGTAATCACTGTGATGTCCAGGATATTTAAGTATAATTGTACCAAGGTTCATCGTAACTGGACTGGTAGTTTTTGCTTGTTACGTGAACATACAGATAGACAAACAGATAGACAGACAAAATTGTATTAAATCACATTTTCTATTCAGTAACACCCATCACTATTTTTTATATTTTAAATGTACAGAATTTACACTTCTACAGTTATATTATACACATGTACATATTATGTATAGATTTACTGACTGGCATCTGTCATGCTCGAATAGGTGATTCAAGGAAAATATTATTAATTTATTATGCTAAATTTCAGCTTTCTAGATTGTATAGTTACAGCTATGCAATGTCTGTCAATCAATCAGTTAACTATTCAAGTAGTAACGAATATGTTTTATACGTATGAATTCAATGTTTTTCTTGTATTTACGATCGTACTCAGTCTCGTCATCGGTATTTTTGAACCGTTTCGAATGTCGTATACCTTCAAACCTTCAAGAGAAGCTCGTATTCCTTTTTAAAAGGCCAGCAATGCACCTGTGACTCATCTGGTGTTGCGGGCGGCGCTGATCGCTTACCATCAGGTGATCCGTGGGGTCGTTTGCCCCCTATTCCTTAAAAAAGACCCAATTGTTGTTGTGATGATTTTCTTCCGACACCTACTGCCAAGGACTTCCTTAGAAATAGGCTTTGGAACAAAATCGACATCGGAACTAAGGAATACTTTAAGTAGATAATCATTAATACCCATCTCTGAGTGCTGTAGTTAGATTGATAATTTAATAGACAGTAAGTTAGTCATTCGTTTGGACGAAATGATGCCATTTTTTCGGTGGAATCTCACTGGAACATCATTATTATATTGGGAGACGGCCTCGTCGGCCGAGTGTTCACAAGTGCGACTGGTAAGGGGTCTTGGGTTCGATTCCCGGGTCAGGCAAGGTACCTATTGCTTGATTTTTTAAATAAATCTCAGTAGCACGTAGTCTGGAATTGTGCCTGGTATATGGCAATAAGCTCATTCCCTATTACATTAGACTCATAAATTAAATATTGAAAAGTGAGTGTTACAGTGTACAGTGGCATTAAGTGCCGTAATGTGTACTTCTACATATCCCTTCGGGGATAAAAAGCGTGATATTGTGTTTGATACTTCCAAACTGTCGTTCTATCCAGCCCCGATTATAGGACACGTGAATCTGCCCATGGAATGAAATGAGCGCAAAGATCTCATCAAAACAAACTGAACATGGATTAGGTTTATTTGTACCATACTATAATTATCATTATCGACTGAAAGCCCCAAATTGTAGTGCTTTAAAAATATTGAATTTAAAAAATTAACATATTCACTAGCTGCCCCAAATACTTTCAAAAGCTTCCCCCCAATTTACATCGGATCCAACTTGATTCCTCCTACGATGGATCAATTACCACGAAACAAATTGGAATTCATTTGTCACGAAATTAGGAATAATAAAATAACCGGTTAACAAGTGGAGGAATAATCGAATAACATCATCGGAACTAATAATGCAGTATTAGAAGTTAGGGTAAAAATAAACAATTGACTAATTTATTGAGACTTTTTATTTATTACAAAAGTACAATAAAATTAATTATAAGATCTATGTCGATTTATTTGCCATTTAATTACTAAAGGTTTGTAATGTAATGAAGTTGGCATGCTAGTAGGTACATAATTCCATTATAATTGCTTTATTTAGGTGTTGTTTTGTCACCGAGTCGGGACTGAGGTATGAATAGGATATCATATTTTTTTAATATCTTAACTAAACAATATTTATTTCGATGTGTAGACCGTGCTTGTATTATATCGGGGATTCCACCAATAGTCACAGCTTCACAGCGAATGAAGTATTTTATTCTGCATCGCTAAGTGGTACTGAAAAACAACACAGATAACTTAGTATTGCTATATACAAAAAAATACTTCATAAGAAATAAGAGTGGGACCCAATATAGTGCCTTGTTGCACCCCCTTTATTTCTAATGTCACTTCAATGAAAAATATTGATTCATTTTATTAAATTTTATTCTTAAGAGAAAAACTAATTATTTATTTATTTTTATACATAAACTGGACAATTTCCAAAAAAATTAAACAGGCTTTTAATTTTACAAAATCAGTTGATACTTGCCTCCAATGCTAGCGTCGTGGTAATCAAACGCCTTTAAGAAATCTGACAGTGAACAGCAGTACGTGTACTTATCACTAACTTTGAACCATGGTTCATCCTCACTGTTACAGACGTTTTTACATTTAATATCTGAGTCTGTTGGTGCACGATCGTTGACGTGGATGATAGCAAAAACTTCATCGTCATCGAAACGAATTACCTGAAATGTTTAATCATAAATGAATAAAGTGATTCTTTTTTTCATTTCCTAAAAACAGACGTACAAATCATAATAGTAGGTGAAACAAATGAAACAAGTGAATTTATTTCTGCAAATAGGCAGCACTTTTACATGTCAATTTTATCAAGCGAACGATGAGGCCGACATTTCCTAACTGACTACTCTGAGAAGAAATGCCGAAACAAACTCAGAGGTCAAACAAACTCAGAGGTATTCTGATATTTTAGCACAGTAACAATAATGCATCTCAAAATGACATACCTTCCATAAATATCGCGGTATAACCGCTCTATCCTTCTTTTGCCACGTGTCAGTTCCAGACCAGACGACAAATTCGTCGTAGAATGTCTGCTCTCTTACCATTTTATTAATAGATTCCCACGACGTCTAAAAATTTTAAATCACTAATGAGTCAACAGTTACAGTAACATAACCTTTTAGAATTACCTTGATAGTAAGTTAATTAACTTTACCTGAGAAGCATTACAAGGGCGCCAGGCTGGAACTACATTCAAAGGATCGATAAATGTGGTGTTCATCTCAGCAGCATATTTAAAGTCTTTTGCCTCTACCAGCTGAGATTTTGCGTAACAGCAAGATGACAGCTTGTTTTTACAAGTAAAAGCGTTCTCATTGTGACTGTTCTCAATACCAGGGTAGGTGTGCCAGGCATAAGTGGAACTGAGCTTATCATTCTTTGCCGTTACGATGTTGCGAATGTATCGAGGCATACGCCCTGTGTTATCAAAACAGACTTCATAAGTTTCCAAGAAACTACCAGTATTGTATCCTACTTTTATTAATTCCGAGTTGCCTGTCAAGCATTTAACGTTCTTTTTGGCAACGGTGGGTTGAATTCCTTGCGTACATTGCAGATCAGAAAGTTTAGCCCTTTTTCCGTCCACTATGAATACGTCTTCTTTGTCACAATACGCTTTTAATACGGTCTTCGATGGGAACTTTTTGAAGGAATTTGAAGCATCTTTGCGGTTTGGACATGACAGCGTAATTTTTTCTTCTTGTTCTACTACTGAAAAATATTTTGATGTCTCCCATGTAGGCCAAGCGCCTTTGTCGTCAAGTATGAGCGGCATATACTCGATATCTTTCAAGTTTTTGGGTATCAAACATACTGTAATAAAGAGAAACTTTAGTTGTTAATGTGCTTATCATAAAAAAGGTGGCTTAGCTGTAGTATAAACATAAAATAGGTATAAGCTCAATAAACTGACCATGCCAACATTTGTCACTTCCAAAATAATTTTAGACAAAGATCTAAAAACAAAAAGACTGACTATTTATTCTTAAAAGAATGCTTTGAGCGTGATCTACATTGAAACCGAAACCAAAAATATGGTTTTCAGAATTTTTGTCTGTTTGTCTGTATGTAAGTCCGAGATGAACTCCAAAAGTGCTACAAGGTCGGGGCAACACATAGGCTAAATATTATCATGTTATCAACTACGGGGAGGATCTATGAATCACTATTCAACGCGGACGAAGTCGCGGGCTCAGCTAGTTTAAAATATTTTTGTACATCTAGGTTTTAAAGGTAGACAAAAATCAAATTACACTGAATTTTCAATCAGCTGAGCTGTGTGAGCAAATGCTATTTCAACTAACTTCATATTAATATTTTGATTACGTAAGTTACACTTACCAGAAGACTTTACGTCAAAATCTTTCAATACGGAGCCGTGTGGATTAGATACGTTGCAAGTATAATGACCCCATTTGTAGATGACACCTATATCTTGCACATCACTATCGGGTATCACTTTACCATTATATTTCCATTGAACCTGAAAATTATTCAAGTCGGTTTTAGTCTCATAGTAAATGTTGATGGAAGTAGCTACAATAAACGTCACGTACGTTGGTACACTAAGAGTCATGTGCTGGGACCTACTTTAGCTTGTGGTTTTGCGTCGCTATCGCAGTTGGATCGGATTTCTTGTACTTCGCCACGCCAATCATTAAGGGGATTATCTCCCAATAGTTTGGGTGGGCCGCCCACATCAACAACGTATGTGTGTGTTTCCGTGTGTCCCTGCTTGTCACTCACATGACATGTGTAGTTGCCGTCATTTGAAACCGTTGCTTTAGTTATTTGAATGGATTTCTTTTTCAACTCTCCCACATTCTGTGGAAGCAAAAAAAATATTAGAGTATCCTGGCTAAACGAAAATTGGATGAATTTTCATGTAAAAAATTGCAAGATCTACTTACGTCAAACCATTTAATTGATTGAGATTTAGAACGATACGCTTCACATTCGATATTCCTATTTTCACCATATAATAAGTACACGAAATGTGTTGTTCCGAAGGTGCTGGGGCTCTCTGTATAAAATAAATCATAATTCTTAATTAATGACAAACAAATAGGACGTTATTATATATATTTAAGAGTAAATGACTTTGAATAGAAGAGATTAAAGATTAATTTTAACTTTTTTCTCCGCTCGTTCCAATTGACACTTAGTAGAATTGACATTGACTACCTAAACATAATGTTTGAACAGTATTTGTAACGTCTTGATTGGTATATTGCTGTGGGATATTATGTGTCTAATTGCTGTGTGCAACATAAATAATAGAAAAGTCTTACTTTCAAGTGTTAGGTCGGTCGTGCTGCTGACTGACCCAAGATAGTTTTTAGCTTCACATGTGTATTTTCCAACATCAATTTTACTCGGGTTCAGGATAACCAACGATCCATTGTCAAACGAGTATTTTGCATCTGAAAGAAAACAGCAATATCTTAAATGTATGTTTCTAATACTAATATTGGAGGCACAGGCCTCCAATATTCGAATCGCCAAGGACAGCCTTTGAAGAAGGATTAGCAGTGTCCTCTTTACCATGCTGGTACATCTTTTGGTTGTTGGTTGCTACTGTTGGACGTCCCCAGTTCCTAATGATTCCATATTTTTAACAAAAAATATATGTCCTTATTCTTGTAGGATCAGAAAGATCTAACACTTACTGGGTGTGATGATAGCTCCTTTTAGTTTCCATGTGATCGTGGGTCGTGGAACGCCTACGACATCGCAAGGTATCTTTATTGCTATATCACCTTCTATGGCTTCCACTGATTTAGATTTAGTCACGATATTTGGTCTTGCTACAAATAAAACAGTTCATAAATTAAACAAAAATTCAACAACAAACAGAATTGAGAGATTTTCACCTTCATGTATAACATTGATTAGTTTTCTGGAAGATATTAATTTGGAAATAAACGATATTTATTTGTGATTTGATTTTTAAGAATCCTAATAAGTCCCGTAAATCCTGGATGCATTGTGATTAACTTACATTCCACAGTAAGACTAGTGACGTGTTCGACCGTTCCAGCTTCGTTCTGTACCACGCACTTGTAGCGACCTGTGTGTTTGTTTTCTGCCTTCGCAATGTGCATCACATCTGACGATCCGGCGATTGGCACGAATTGTTTTCCAGAGTTATCCACGAACCATCTTATGTTTGGTTTCGGCCAACCCTTGACAACCCTACAATTGATAACCAATTAAATGTGAAGAGAATGAATGAATTATTTTCATGTTAACCCGTATTTTGTATGATACTATCATATATCGTGTTTTATTTTTTATATCCTATAATATATTGTTAATCTCGACAAATAAATACCCACCTGCATTCTATATCAACGGCCATTCCGAGGTTAACCTTCTTAGTAGCAACACCTACAACTTGTGGTTTCTCTGTAAAACAATAATTACATTTCAGTATTATTTCGAAAAGATATGGTAATTTGTACGCATTCGTAAAAATCTTTATTAATGTTTGTATGTTTAAGTTCTGAAAATACTCACGTCGTATGAACGCTTTGAAAGTTGTGCTTACTGAGCCGGCCTCATTAGTAGCTACACATTCGTACGACTTAGTATCTGCTACTGTCGGATTTCTTATTACAAGTGCTCCGTCTTCTACCACATACTTGGCACCTGAAACAAAATAATTTATGTTTTTATTATTCTTATTTTCTTTTTGTCTGGCCTTAATGAGTGTTCTCATGCTCAAAGTTACAAAGTACTACTAGGTCGATTCCTTAGAAGAACCTAGGACAAAAATTGCACTACATGCCGATTGAATGCATGATCAGAAATAAAATAAAAGCCACATTACAATGTATTGAATGTAGTTGCTTACTTGGCACTGCAATGGGCCGACCGTCCATTTTCCAGGAGATGCTTGGTTTTGGGTCTCCAACGGCGACGCATGGTATCTTCAAAGTAGCGTCTCCTTCAGTACTTTGATACGTAGTAGATGAACTAGTTATCATCCTTGGTATTTCTGTAAAGATATATCAATCCCGTATACTTTCTATTCATATTGAAATGTAAGTAATTGCAATATGAGATGCTGGAGGACTTTATAAAAAAAAAATGTTACAGCATCAACAAATATAAAACGGCTTTCTTTCGATTAGGTATTTTTTTACATATTAAGTCTTTTTAAATGTGGGACTTCTCAACAGGAATTGAACTGAGGCTTATCTTTGAATATTTGTGAATTTAATTTATCTAGTATTATTCTCGAAGTACCATAAGAAGGTTAGAAAGGGCTTGGACATGTAATATTTACCAACAAATATCATATTTACCTTGAACAATTAATGTTGTAACCTTCTCATCTTTAGTTAATGCGTTTTCTGCCACACACTTGTACTGACCCTCGTGTTTGGCTTCTACACTATTAATACGTAACACGCTTCTAGTCTCAGCCAGTGGCTCAAACTTGGGTCCAGATTTGCCTCTAAACTGCCATTTAATGGTCGGTATTGGTACACCACTTACTCTGCACGAATAAGTATATATATAGATTATATACTTTACAGTGATCATTTAATTTAGAAGAAAAAACATTTTTATAAAAGTATTAAAATGTATAAAATATAAAAAGAATATGAATTAGAAGAACACAGAAGAAAAATTGATAGAACTTAATTTAAAGGCGACGTGTTACATTTCTACTTACTTGCATTCTAAGACGACAGCCTTACCCTTGACTGCTTTTACGTTAGCTGGCATTTGTATTTTCGGTGGAGCTGAAAATATATTTTTTTAATGAGACGTGTTATGTTGAACTAAGAGTGAATTGTGATGTGATGAACTTACATAAATGATTGAGATAATCAAAGTAATGTAACGTGTTAAAATTATCGAACTAATTTTATATTTTATTATTCCATAAAAAAAAACAGCAAGTGGAGCTCGCTCGGTGCTGATGGTGGTCACTGTCAGGAGATTTTTTTTGAAGTAAGAAACCCGTCTTTCTTTTTCCATCTATCTTCTCTCTTTTTTACAGCGAAACAGTGAAAGGAAACAAAAGGGGTTCGCGAGCTTATGTTTAAATTTTCGATACAGTCTTCTGTATCATGATAAGAATATATTTGAAGTTGACCAAGTACATAGTCAGATTTATAAACGAACTAATTTACATACCCACTCCTGTCACTTGAACTCGTTGGGTCAATTCCTTTTTAACATTTCTATCGTTTACCAGATAAGCTTGGCAGACATACTTTCCAACTGAATTCATATCCACTTTTTTTATTGTTAATCCAGTTTTGTCTGCTGATATTGAGTATTCGTTAGAATTGACTACTTCTTTCTTCGCTCCAGTCATTTCATTCATATAGTACCAATGGATGTTCATAGGAAACCGCGATTTGATGTCACATTTTAGGATTCCCGGCTTGCCGTATTCCATATTCACACCTGTGACATATTATATTTTATTTAGTGGTCTGATCTTCTTCGGTCTATACCTCTAGTTTTAAGTACCTAATGTTATTATTGATTTTTCATTTAGATTTGTTTAAAACTGAGTGATAATTATTGATGAAATTATTGGGCGCCAGAACTAGGAAGAAATATTAATTTAAGACTTTGACTGCCAATAAAAAACTGTTGAAGGTAAATCCTCCGCTAACGCCGGTCACCGGTGATCCCCATGGCGTTTAACGTGTTAGGAATAAGTCGCTTGAACACAACAGATAAAGCACCTATTGCCAACGAATTGTATAGAGAAAGACATACAAGAAAACAATGTGATACGCAAGTATATTCCCAACTTACTTGGTCGAACATTAACTACAGAGAAAGCGTCTTTAACATTGACTTTAATTGAAGCTGTATTGGTTCCCACATCATTTACTGCGCTGCATATATATTTATCTTCTTTTGCGACAGGCATCTCCAGGTAACTAATGTAGTCATACGGGTATTCAATCATAGAACTCTGTAAGTTAATTAACGTAGAATTATTTGCTTGTTCTTTTCTCACTAGGTTAGGATTGAGATTCAGATGGTCATCAGGATTGTAATCACAAAATGGTTCATAAATTTATTATTTTTGTTATATTCCGGTCATTTTAGTTTTAAGTTCTTTCAGTTATTTTATATTGTTTTGTATCTGTTGCATGTATCATTTACACTGTGTCTTATATTTAATTTCCTTTTCCTGTCGCAGGTCTGCAGGAAGAAATCCCTTAAGGGATATGCAGTACCTATGTACCTCATACTTGTAATGTGTCGTCCTTTGTAATATTGTCTGTGTGGTGTAGGTATATGAAATTATAAATAAATAAAATAAAATAAAAAAGTCGTCGGTTGAGGCAATTCATTGGTCAACTTTGGATTGTTGTAACAGCGATATTTTTCTGATTTAACGTTGTCCTTACCCGTTGGAGAATTTTGTGTATGTTTCTAAATGCAACCACAATACAGGAGAATATTCTTGTTGCATTTTATGATGACTTAATTGTGTAGACGTGGACACAATATAATAATATACAATGATTCGTATAGTCACTATAATGCAATCGATTACTTACTTTAGAACTAATTAGTTGTCCCTGTTTGTTATACCAAGATATTTTAGGCTTGGGGAATGCGGTCACTTTGCATGTTAATTTCATGGAACTATTGTATTCTACAGTTGTTTCTCTGCCCTCAGATATCACCGCTCTGGGTACTTGTTTGTCCGGTAATTCTGGAAACAAGTTGCAAGTTTATTTAGTAACAAATAAATTTTTCTACCACGTTCTAGAAAGTAATCTTCTTATAAAAAGTTTACCTAAATTGACTATTGTGGAGGATGGGGTACGGGTAGAAGTAAATACAGATAGTAAAATAAACTTACTTATCGGTGGCTCCTGAGGAGTAATAGGAATCTTCGCGATACGCTTTATAATGCGACCCGTTGCTTTCACTCTCCCAATCACCTAAATTATAAATAATTATTGTATTATCTCGTAGCTGGTTAACATAGAAGTACTACTGATGGATTTCATTGCAATAATAAATATCCTGTAATTATTACTAACCGCTACTTTGAACCTTTGTGTCGGTGTCACCAAAGCTGGAGTGACGTAAAAATCTTTAGAAATTTTGGTCAAAGGAATATCTGGCCTGATCGGTTTTTCATCCATTCCTAAGATCTGGGCCTTTGTGATTTCCACTGATTGGCGTTCATCAGTAACTAATACTGATAAGTGGACATTTGTATCTGAAACAACAAAATAATGTATAATACGATGTTATTTGTTAGCAATAAGAAGGAATAAAAACACAAGTTTAAAATTAGAGACAGATGTTAACGTTATTGTTGAACCAGCTTTGCGGTGTAATATACTCCACATTGCAGTATAATTTGTCGTTGGCACTAGTCCCGCAGAGTCATAAAAATATTTTGATAATAAAAATTGGTTGCCTGTAAAGTCGGTATACCGGCGAATGTTTTACGTGACAACGACTTTGAGTGGTAAAATAATTTTAATGTGAATTTAAAGTGTAACTGGCAACGTGTAAACTTGTATACACGCGCCTAAGCGAAATAGAAGCGCAAGACATGAACCGGTGTGTATGCTTATCTCTCTCACTCTCTCTCTCTCGCTCTGTCTCTCTCGCTCTTAGGCGGGCTAACTGTGCTCGAGTGGAAGGGACGCGTGCCTTTCACTTTTTATGTCTGTCTCTCTCGCTCTTAGGCGGGCTAACCATGCCCGAGTGGAAGGGACGCGTGCCTCTCACTCGCTCTCATGGTGAGCGCATAACGTGAGCGGAGCGTAACGCAGTTTCTTGAAGTGTCACCCGGCAAACCAATTTATAAGACGTTGTCACGTAAAAATATTTCAAAGACAACACTTAGATGGCAATGTGCTATAGTATTTTAAACGAGATACTCACTGGCTATTGGTTGGAGAGACGTGTCCTTAAGTGACTTGGGCTTCAGCTCCGAGAAACCATGTTTGAAGAGGAAATCAGACCTGCCCACTATGACGACGGATGTCTCTGAGGTACCTTTCACGGTAGCGGTATATCTGCCAGGCGTTACGTTAACCAACTTCACCACCTTAAACAATCAAGCGTTTTATTTAGCTTTGTGACCTACTTATATAGGGACGTTGTACAATTGTTTGACTTCACAAACTTGAGAGACCCTTTACACAAACTACAAACTAGCAATAGGGGAGATGTGGTTGCATTAAATCTACCCTGCGATTTATCACTTCTTCTTCTTGAACTCGTCTTAGTGGATTTTTAAATAGTATTTTTTCATACTTTACCTACTGACGTAAATCGTAAACAAATTGTTTAATGAAATTGGTATTTCTTATGACAGTTACAACTGGGGATAAAGAAGTATGTGGCACCTCATGAAAGAGGAATCTATAAGGTTATTAAAAATTGGAACAAGCCTGTCACAATTTCCCAAAACCGCTGCAACCCTTGTAAGCCAGGATCTACAGTAGCTACAACCATAAAAATACCGGAGCACTGAAGTCCGGCGCACCTCTAGGATATGAATAACTGTCTCGGTTCCCACAACGAAATAAATCAGAAGATATTTTAAGAGGAGAAGAAAAAACCATTGCTTCCACTTCCCTCTGTGAATTATTGCAGAAGACAGAATGAATTAAGCGTAAAGACACAAAAATAGAATGTAGAACTGGGAGAAAACCAGTCGCCAAGCACGGTGGAAATTTGTGAACTATTTATTATACTTGCTTCTTTGGCTATAAACTTGGTAGTATGGCTATAAAGGGATAATGGGTCCTCTTAGAACTGGGTGTTTGTCATGGGAGAAAATCTAATTCAATTATATTTTAGACTTTATGATACTCACTTTCCCATTGGCATTCCACATTAGGTTCTCCTGTTTGCCAGCAGGTCCAGATAATTTTAGATACACGTCCTTACCCGACACAGAAACAATGACGTATTCAGTTTGGTCATCAACGTCGAACTGAAACAATTACACGATGTTTTTACTAAACTATTTTATTTAGCTTGCCTAATTTTGTATGTTTGGGTCATAAGTAGGTACACAATTAGAATGTTACGTCCTTCCTGATAACAGATCCTATCTTGACAACCATGCAATATTATAATATATTTTTTCCACAAGTACCTCCATTATTGAAGTTAAAACAAACGGTGTAAAGATATGGGGGTATCGATTTTCATTCAATAGGAAATTAGCTACTGTCACACGAGTGGACTTGACAGCTGCACTTGGCTGCGCCAATGTAACATGACCAAAAAAAATTGTCGTGTTACATTTGCGAGGTGACCAAAAGCTATAAGGAACACTTACCGGGATATCTTTTAAAACACCAGCTGGCACAGTCGTCGAAGTAATTATAATTTTTTCACCACTTATAATGTCAGTTATTGGTTTGAGTACCTGGAATAAAAAGCAGAAATAAATAAACAATAATGATTTCTAAGTAAGGCACCTCTTCTTTAAACAATGGAATACACACACTTTCGCTCATTCTAATATTAGTAAAAATACTAAAGCTTAGATATCAATGTCTAAGTCATGTTATTGATTTTTATTTGGGTAGTTTGCTAGGTCTTAAACTATTTATTTTGACTTATAATGCAATAAAATATTTAAAGCTAAATGTACTTTCTACATTAATCCACAATATATCACTTATTTCTAAATGACAATGACCAAATTTGTATAGAGAATTTTGCCTTTTCATTTTTTCGCGGCAGTTGATCGGATGTGCAAAAACTGATGCAGTATAATATTACTAACCAAAAAAATAAGTAGGGTCTTATATCAAAAACTCAGTCCGAATTGAGTTAAATCAGATCAAATATGTGAAAATAGTGCTATGATACTCTTGCTATTTTGTTAATGTTGAGTTCGTACACAAGCATAGTTTGATCATTTATTTATCAAAAATGTTTGTAATAAATATTTGTAACCATTTTCAAGGACTAAACCGAAGCTTATTATGATTTTTTTTTTGTTAAACCACGGAATCATACCAGAATGCAGTTTAAGCCAATAAACTGTTAACCGTCTACTGCATACGTAAAAAATCTTTTGGCGAGATTAAATAGCGTTGTCGCTTTAAGTGCGGGCTTATGACCTATAACTAAAAAAATTTCTTGATCAATTTCCTCTCAGTCGAAAACCCGCAAAATAATTCACTGAGCCCTATCATGATATACTATGTTAGTCGATTGCGGCTCCAGTAGCGGATTGAGTAGTGGCAGTCGTCAAAACACGTAAAAGACATTGTTCTGTCAACTTCTCTCGACTAGTTACTAATCTTACTATAGTTAGCATAACATTTTTCAGAAAGATAAATCAGGTCACAAAATGATGGATTATTCTTCGACTGATCATACGAATATGAAAAAAATGTTCATTCATCTGACGTAGGTATAGTCCATCACTACACAATCAGCTGATGACTCCCTTTCCTCAAAAGATTATGCTAACTGTAAAGTAGATGAGTCTCCAATCAGGAGTAAACGACTTAAAAAATATACTTTGTTAGACGTTTAGGCGGCTGCCACTACTCAACCTATCACTGATACCGCAGCTGACGCTCACTAAGCTTCATGACATAACTTCTTAAAGCATCCGACAAGTTATACACTGAGATAAAATAGCTGATAAAAATTAGAGCCTGTCATTTCATCCATATTGTGGTGTGATATGGTGTAACTGTGCCAGGCGTACAGTGGCGCGCATTTTGAAGTCAGGAATTGTGGCAATAATATGAATAATTTGAATAAAAAAAAATATAATAAAATGTTCGACTCCAGCTCCTATCACCACTCACAACAGTCCGGACTGAGATTCCCATAAGGCTATAGTAGGGGAGCCCACGATGCTAAATTTGGATTTACTTGAGCGTCGTTGGGACCTACTGGATTTTGAAGATATGCTGATAGAAATAAGAAATGGTTTAGTGACAATTTCTTCCATCGGTGGGGGAAGGGGGAATCCACAGATCTTTGAAATTGTTAAGCATAACTTTTGTTCTAGTGGTCGAGCGTGTCAGATATTCATAGTGTACATGCTCCATGAGTATTTAATGATAAAAACTCTTAATCTGCCAATTTGCATGGTGGGGTTGAATGTTTTGGAGAGTACTCTTGCAAATCAAGTTGGAATGGGCAGATTTTTTAAACGCACTTCCTTTATTTTTATTTTTTTATTTTTATTTTACAATTTTAGGAAAACTTACAGCTAGGTATAACATAAGGATAGATTAAAATATTGATAAACGGCCAATAACAAGTTTCCGCTTATGGGTAATTAAATTACTAGTTTAAAAAGACAGCAAATGACGAAACAAAAAAAAAAACTGTTCAGAAAAACAAAAAGAAATAAGATATTATGTTTGAAAGAAACTTGAAGACATTAATTTCTTTAATCTACGTACGCTAGTGTGAAATAAATCTAAATCAATCCTCCGGCACTCTGAATCGTATGTCCGACACGCTCTTATCATGTATGAATTTTGTCTATAAACAGTGTTGGTAGACGGGACGTTAAGAAGTACAGGTTTGCGCAGAAAAGCAGAAGGCACACGCAACCCTATTCTGTCCACCAACTCCGGTACATCTAATGAGCCATTTACTATATTGAACAGGAATGATAATTAATTTAGCATGGTATTGACCTACCTTCCCTTAATCTGACGAAACTGACTTTATTTAGTCAGACTTTTTTTTTAGTCCCCCCCCTTCTAATCAGATCGGGTATATGGTGGGTATATTCAACATGATACTAGGTTTTCCCCATATGTTAATCTGACGCGCTCGAGTAACTACCGAAATCTCTTCATGGGCTCCCCTACTATAGACAATTTCGTTTGTAATGTCATCCTAGATAATATTTTTCATAAATCATCGATTAAGTACCGCTAGAAAAAAGAAAGCCACCAATTTTCGGCAATGCCCTTTCCTAGCAAATTTTTAAAAATCAAATATGTAGTATGCATTTATTTATCTATATTTATATTTAATGCAAACGTTTGATGACGTCATATGTATATATATATATTTTATATTTCATATAAAATTTATAGAAAAGTATCGTTTTTGACCCGTTCTCCGCAGTCCGCACGTGTTCTTACCTCTGAAACTGCATTTTTGTTTACTTCATATGCCAGGCCTGAACACGCCTGGGCTATGTCATAATATATATGCATAATTTCATCTGGATAGTGCCAGGTACATCTTCCGGTAATCACAAAGGAGATCTGTAAAAGAGTTGGCATACATAGAGATAAGAATAAAAAACAAAATGTATTTCAAAAAAAGTGTTGTGGTTAATTTTGATATGAGACCTTTCTTGGGTACAAAAGGTTGCACAAATCGCGCACATATTTAATGAAGGTTTCAGGGCTGTGTGACGAAAATCCTGTTTTTCAAATAAAAATAATGTAATGTAAAGAAAGGATTTTCGTAATTACAATACACGTTTAACGTGTATCTATTTTATGTGAAGGATTTAACATTTAGGATCATTGCACACAGTAACGGCACGGCGTTTGTTGCTTTAGAAACAATTTCCAAAAATGCTGTAAGCGCGCTGTCGGCGCACAGACCGCGCGGATAGCCTTTTCATTCCCGTATGAAAGTTCAAATTTAAATGATAAATAATTGCAGAGTTGGAGCGGTACCGTTAAAGTGTGATAACATACCCCGACGGGGTAGGCAGAGGTGCACATTATGCCACTGTACAATGTAACACCCACTTTTCACTATTTATGTTATGAGTCCCATGTAATAGGGGGTGAGCCTATCGCCATATACCGGGCACATTTCCAGACTCCGTGCTACTACTGATATTTTTTAAAAACCCCAGTAATACTTTGCTCGACCTGGGAATCGAACCCGAGACCTCTTGGCCGGCAGTCGCACTTGCGACCACTCGGCCAACGAGGCAGTCAGCCAGAGCAGCAAAGTGTGATAATATGACCTAAATTCAACATAAAATGTTTTATTTTGTACCTGAGCTTGCTTTTTCTGACACAGTTCTTTGACAATGTGAGCATTCTGATAATCTTTGGCTGATGCATCGGTGAACACGTATATGTGGGAGCCTCGATTGCTTTTATTCAAAGCTAAAATTATTCCATTTATGGATGGTTCTCGACAGTCGCTGTTATGATAATTATGAACATAAACCGCCCCCAATGCTCTGTTGAATTCGTTACGATTGGTGGTCGCTGTCCACAACTTTGCATCTAAAAGTAACAGAATTATTAAATAAACCTCATAAAAATGGATTAATAAAATTCGCTATTTATACCTGATTGGGTAGTTTTCAGGGTATCAAAATTAAAAATGTAATTAGTCCGTCAGTTAGATAATGAAAAAATAATAGATTTTTTTTTCTTCCCGTATTAATCTGTCAAACACCGAGCGGTCACCGGTGACTGCAACCTATTGTTCTTTAATTGTGTCTATAAATACGGTACTCGACGAGTTAAGTTGCAATACTTAGATAAAATGGCGCTAAGTTTAGGAGTGGGAGGTTATTACGTCATAACGTGCTAAAAATGTGGCACGCTGTGACGTCTCACGATATTTCAAATTAATATATCGTCAAAAGTATTTAATTTTGTGAGAAGAGAAAAAAATACGTGTCTAAAGTTTTAAATTAAAGTACTGGACGGACATTAAAATAAAATTTAGGAAACTACACTATATACGTATAGGTATAGTAAATAGTTATAGAATTAAAATATATCATTCAAAAATGAAAGGTTCAGTTCTCTTCTAATATTGTTTGTTTCATTTCCACACCCACGTATTGAATTCGAGGCCTGACTCGCTATTGCCTTATTAAAAATACTCGAATGTAAGCTCTGTTGGGGTCGTGGTGGCCTATGACTTTAGCCAAACGCCACTATAGCGCTTGTCTACAGAGAGAGTAGAAATCAAAAACGTCAATTTCATATAATTTGGTTTTCTCTTCTACATGTAGACAAGCGCTAAATGGCATTTGGCTACAGCTTCTGAAGGTTTAATATAAGATAAGGCAGAATATTAATTTGTAACACCATTCTTGCTTTATCAGTTTCTGAGAAAGCAATAATGCTGTATAAAAAACGAAAGACTAAAGGTTTCGCCATATTTTCAAAAGTGTTTTTTTTTTGCTAAAAGGCTTAACTTGGACATACCTGGGTCGTTGAATGTGACAAGCACCATATTGCTGATCACGCTGGCCTTCTCATTGAACACAATATCCATGATCCGGTTCACGCTGCTTTTGACTTGATTTATGTCATCAGTCATCGAAAGAGTATCATCTATTACAAAGGTTAAACTCCCTTTCTCCGCGCATGATGCTTTCATAACAACATCAGCGGATACCAGTAACACTACCAGCGGATAAATCCGCCCCAACATTTTTAAACTTAATAATTTACTGATGCGTTCAAATGATCGAAGGACACTGCGTTAGACCCAATCACTGAACTGTAATATATACTACTAATAGCTACTGTGTCATATGTATTTCCAGAAAATATAATTATTTTCCTTTTACTATTCGTAATTGCCCGCACCTTGATTCATTTTAACAATGCAAAATGTTATGTAAATATGACTAAATTAAATACATTTACCACTGTTAGTAGTAATGTGTTCGTAATTTTTTTGTCTAATAGGGTATGAAAATTGAAATTCGAATTCCTCAGTCAGATAATAAAAAAGTGTTAGACACGTATTTTTTACTCAATCATATAATTAAAAAATACTTAGATAAAACAAATTTAAGTTTAGGAGCGGGAGCTAGCTACGCCATCGCTCACAGTAAATCGTGACGTCACACGATATGTTAAATCATTGTAATTAATTCGTCAAAAGTATTGAATTCTGTAAGAAAAGAAAAAATACGTGTCCAATTTTGTTTTTTTTTTAAGAAAGTACTCTAAAGGTTGTAAGCCACAAACATTCCTTACAAAATTATATTAGTCGAAACTGAAAAATCCTATGACTCTGCTCGATCCGAGAATTACACCAAAGATTGACGTAACGAAAGCATGTAATAAAGTGACGTGTAGTAACAGTTCTTGCCTATAAATTCGTTTGTTATGACGCACTGAAGTTCAGTGGGTTACCTTCTTATAATTGTTATTGAACTTCATTGGTCATTGGTGACGATTGTAACATGCTTTCATATGGGTAACCTATAACGGTTCCATGTAATAAAATCTAAGAATCAGTATTACAATTAGGCCTTCTGTCCACGTTGCGATCATTAACGAATGCATGCATTCGACAAAAACGGTAGGCGTATCACTTCGTTCGAGCCACTCGTCCCGAAGCATGACTCTTCTACAATTCTACACACATTATACAAACATTTGTAATTTACAGGCCATCTATTGTACGTGAAGGAAGCATGCATTCGTCTAATAACGCAGACGTGGACCTAATAACCTTTACACACTCAAGCATAAAATAAATCAAGTGAAAAATCTCACTTTACCTTTCGATTTAATATTTTTTTAATTATTTTCGAACAAATAAGCGTCATTTCTAATCGAATACTACTAATCTATGTACTCCAAACATGCTAAAAAGCATGAGAAGATTGTCATATACTTTCACAAATAATATAGGACAGGATGACTAGGAAGTAAAATAAGACAGGAAAGTCTGAATGTTATTTGCTCTGACGCCTCATAAGGTCTAAATCAAAACTTCTTATGTTCAAGGCCGTCACAAGCCTAGCTAGAATATTTTTATAGTACCTAAGGTATCGCAAGGCATGTTATAATCACATATTTTCAATACAAATGTTTGAGTGGCCATATACACAGGTATAAAATATATTTTTGTGACGTGACCAAAATATATTCACGAAATATTGTTATACATATTAATATATTTAAATCGAAACGATCGCAGACCAAAAATATATGTAAGAGTAGCTCTGTTTGTGGTAGATAACTTTACTATAATATATAGCTCGATATATTATTATTTTTATCTTAAGAACTTTCTCCTAATAATAATAAATACAACAACAGAGAATTACGCGTGATGTCGTGACCAAGAGAAACAGGTATTCATTTTGATATATGTATAGTATAATAGGTATATAGTATAATAGGATAGACAGAAAATAGATATTTACCTATGAAATTGCTGTTTTGTTAAAATACATTTAATCGCAGTTATTTAATGCAATAAGTATCCAAATTCTGAAAAAAATTGTCTGTTGGAGAAAGCTATGCTTGTTTCCATTATAAAAAAAAACTAGACAAATGGGTGTCCCAAGAGACACACAAATGAATTGATTTAGAACTGCATGAAAAATGTATTCTGTTTAATAACCCCAAGCGCTCAGCAAGTTGGTTGGATCCTAGTTCAGCACCTAAACAACGTCCTAAATGAAAATTTACCACTAGAAAAGTGATACGGAGCCGCGGAGAACTTAAAAGGTTACCGGGACTTTGGCTCAATGTGCAGAAGTATGAACGAGGTGGTTTTTAGTCAGAGTCTGACACTCCCTCCCGCCTCACCTAGGCAGGAGAAGTCATTCGAAAGTTTGTCCCCCCCTTAGAAAAAACCCCTAGAAAAGTGATGGTCACTGTTAGGTGGTTTAGCGCTGGTGTGATTCATTACAGCTTCTTATCAAACAGGGTGAGTATTACTGCAGATGTGTACTGTACTCTAAAGAACTGAACACAATGATAGAGACGCTGGCATATCTCCAACCACCATTTGTCAAGCGCTCGTTTTCGCTGCTCCTAAACGACAACGCGCTCATACTTTCGTTTCCAAGTTCAAAGAACTAGCGCCTACAGACTACTACTTTTTCCAGAAGTTGGATAACTTCTTAGCGGGAAAAATTCAATACCCGAGAGGCAGTAAAAATGCCAGTGAAAAATTTGTTGCCTCTTCTCTGATTTCTTTAAGAACAGTATCAATAAACTGCCACTGCATTGACAAAGATGCATTGATTGCATGGGTGATTACTTCGATTAATACAAATAAAAAATACATGGAAAACATTTGTTTCAATTTTTTCATACAAAACGGCAATGTCATAGGTAAAACCTATTATTATCTACTTGTTTACATAAATACAATGTATTTAAATGTATTACGATTTGTACGAGTAATGTTGGAACGAATTGTTGCCCATAATAATGAGATTCCTTTTGTTATTAAAATAATTTTCCTCATTCGATTTTACGTATTATTTTATTGTATTTGTAACTAGAGACCCATCCCGGTTTTGCTTTGGTGCATTTCCATTTTCTTGGAAATTTTATTTAATTCAATGATATCGAAACGTTACGCCTTCTGCTCAGTTGGTGCATTTGCAGCACGCCAATCAGAGCGCCAAACGCATTGGACAGAATGGTTCAAGTTACCATACTACCGAGCTAGGACCATGCTCCCGCTATTGGTCGGTTGGTCCCGCTAATTATTACTCGACTGTATTACTGGAGGGTATTGTTATAATGATGTATGTATTTTTCATACATTTGTAGTAAAAGGTGTTTCAAAATGTACTTTCAGAGTGTTTTAAATAAACATAATGAAACAACAATTAGAACTTCGTAATTAGGTATACAGAAATATAATTATATTGCTATTGAAAATGAATATTATTATATTTTTGTAGTCTGGTTTTCCTAATTTAAATATTCCCTGTACATAAGTATCTACTATGTATATTTAAATATGACATACATGATTAAATTATTTACAATTAATTTTGTTAATAGAATTTACCTACATATTACTATTTATAGGTACTTATTTTAGTTCCAAGTAGGTACCTACTTTACCTGTACGGGAGCATCACTTAATTTCTGTATATTTATAACATTCTTCACATAAGATCAAATCAATAGCTTATAATATGTACCCACTGCTGAGCAAAGGGCTTTTATCACACTGAGAAACAGAAGGGTTAAACATTAATCACTACGGTAGCTCTAAGTAGATTGGTAATGTCAAACTTATTAAAATAAATATGAGTTAAGGTTTCTTCACACACTTCTTCTTGTTTTTCCTTCACTTTTGTCTGAAAATAAAATAAGAAAGTAACGCGCAGTAAGTTACATTGGTACTTGCCAGGTTTCGAATCTTCCGGGTCAATGCGATATATTTTTTATGGGATGAGCCAGTAAACGAGCAGACGGATCACTTGATGGTAAATAATCGGCGTCACCCATGGACATCCGGAACTCCAGAGGCGTTACAAGTGCATTACCGGCATTTCGGGGATTAGGAATTTGAGGATTGTTGGGAATTCAGGAATTGGGTACCTAAATTAAGGTAAGAGGAGGGGGGAGGGGGTAATTGGGCTTTCAGTTACCTTACTCACCCGACGAAACACAACGCAAGCGTTGTTTCACGTCAGTTTTCTGTGAGCCCGTGGTATCACTCCGGTAGAACCGACCCATTCGTGCCGAAACATGGCTATCCCACATCTAAAACTACTCTTTACTTAAAGGTGGCACAAAGATATTAAGATGTAATTCGAAATAGTCGAAGTTTATGCACTTCATAATTATGTTGAACACTATAATAATATGTTGGATGAGAATAAAATATTGCAATTGGAGCGAATGGTAAACCGATAGACGGGAAGGTCAGGGAAGGTACTGATGAATACCTAAATGTTGTTTAATTTATAAGCTTATGCAGCAAATACCTCTACATACAGGTACGAACGTGTGTAACAGTATTTAGGTAATGATCAAAATAAAGTCCTTGTATCCTATCCTACTTTCCTATAAGTTACTACTTATTATAAAACAAAGTCGCCCACCGTGTCTGTCTGTTTGCGATAAACTCGAAAAGAACGAGTCTGATTGTCATACAGTTTTCTACAACAGGAAGAGTTATCCTTGGGGAAGGTTTTAATGTATAATATGTTTAGGTTTTTTTAACAATACTACAACGATATTAGTGTTTAACATAATTAATATCATTGTAGTACTAAATTAATGACGTACCAAACATAATTCTAGTATTTGAATCGATGTTTCACTAGAGATATGATAACTAGTGATAAAATCGTAAAAATATCTATTAAATTATCTAACCGTACACATTCACATGAAAAATATATAATACATACATAACTTCACGCCTATCTCCCATGGGGGTAGGCAGAGACTATGGAACGCCAATTACTACGATTCCTACATACTTCTTTCGCTTCATCAACAGTCATCAATCTTAACCCTTCGAGGATGTGGAGGGGTCATTCTGGCCCTGTAAATTTTTAATCGTGTGTAGTTTTGACCGTCACAATAGCTATTGCTAAGGGACCGGCGCGCGCGCCCCGCACCCCTGTTTAGTTGGCCGCCGCCTGCGACGGGAGCAACATGTGCTTGCAGTCAAATCCCCGGGACAACCGCGATGTAACATTTTTA